CAGTGGAAGAGGCTCTGTGGGCCTGTGGGCCTCGGGTACCCTCAGGCCTGAAGCTGCAGCCCTGCTTGCCGCTGCAGCTGCCGCACTCCGAGCGCTACGAGATGTCAGGTTCAGCCGGGTTCAGCATGTCAAGGTTCAAGCAGCCAGGCAAAGTCGAACTAAAGCCCTTAAGCATGTTGATAAGTTCCTTTCCAGGTGTCTAAGATGAACCAGTCCACTGCCTTCTAAGTCTTGGTCCGAGAGGCTGTGAAAGCGTCCAGCCTGGCCAGAGCTGTTCCGTGCGCTGCCGCGACCCCTGGATGGGTCCGCAGGCGCTTGGACACGCAAGCGATGCCCTTGAGCCAATGTCGCTATGCAGTGTGAAGCGACGTACTTTGGCCGTAATTGAAAGAATCGACAGGCCTCGGCCAGCTGCCCAGAAAACAACCTGGACCCAAACCAGCAGCTGATCGTGCCTGAGGACCTGAAAGAAAGCTGGAGGGCCTTAAGTGCGCGGCAGTGCCTTTTACATTGTTCGACTTGCCCGCTCCCTGCTTCTTGGCCCTGCGTAGGACTGGTACCTCGACAGGCACGGTATCATGTACAACAGTATCTGGCCACCCAAGAGTGGGCCTTAGACATCCTCAGACTCACTTAGACTCCTCGACATTCTTCGATTCCAATTGCAGTCTGCCGAGCCGGGTGACCTGCATAGATCTGAACAGTGGATGGTGCACGTGTCAATGCGCCGAGGTGCTCTTTGCGATGTGATTCGCTTAGCCCTGGCTACGAGAAGGCACTACGCACTATGTACCATGTCTCCTTGTCGCAGATCATATGCCGGCACTAGGCATCAGCACTTAATTCCCTGTCCAGACTGCATAGCCTGACATCCTGACGTTACTTGCGAAAGGCACTCGGGGGCCACTGGAAGTGTACGGCTGGCTTCATCGGTGAGGCTGTGACAAAGCCTCTTGACTGCATCACGAGCGCACCATGTCAGCTATGACGACCAAGCACACAAACACAAGCAAGCAAGCCACATACGCACACACATGCTGCACTCAAAAGCGCCAGAATTTGGTAGGAGCTTAGCTTAAGCATGCAGCTTTTTTGACTAGGGTTTTCCGCAGTCACCTTGAATCGTGTTGTACCACCAAGGACCTGCACACAGCGAGGCACCTGCAACCAGGTCGGTTCTTCCGTGCGTGGAGTTAGGGTTTGAGGGTTCAAGGATGCTTGCCCTTCCAGCTGAGCCCTGAAGGCCGTGGTACTTGAGGGCTGCAAAGAGCTGCTGCCTTGTGACGTGGCTACAGAATGACGCGTTGTGGTGCACAAGCTGGTTTCCTCACCTGGTGAGTCGGTCGCTCTCAGCTTCGAGGTACCATCCCTGGCTTGGATGTGCAGAGCTTACTCGCCAGCTTAAGTGCAGAAGCAGATGGTTGCCACATTCGAACGGTCGTCTTGTCCCTGAGGCTTGCAAATACGATGTCAGTGGTTGCGGAGGATTCCAGCGCGGCACCAGTTGTGAGGCCACAAGCTCTGGTTGTTCCACTGCGTGGGCGTCTATTGGTTCAATGGAAAACAAGACTTCTCGGAATCTGATCGAGCTTGCATTTTGTACATCCATGCTTGTATTGCGATGTTCAAAACTTCATTTGCTGGCGGTCTACGAGTCTACGAGGCTGTGTGAGGTTCTCCGTTTTGGCATGCTGAGAGCTTCTGTTGGGTCTTGCAAAAACTTCAGCCCAGACAGTGCGAAGCATGTCAGCCCTCACGGGCCAGGTGAGGTGTCGTGCCCCCTTCAACGGCACAGCAAGCATCATGCTGGATCCTGAGTCACAGATTCGTCCGCAGTGAGAACACTGCTGAGCAGGGTGTTTTGGTTGCCATGTGCACAGTTGGCGAAGCAAGTCTGAACAACGACACTGACCCAGGCGGTGTCCACAGAACAACACCGAGCCTGAAGGAGGCTGGAAGAAGTGGCAGACAAAACCTTTTCCTGCTGTGCTCTGGTTCATGTCAAGCTTGATTCATGCTGAGTCCTCAAGGCTGCGCAGGCTTGCACAGAGAGTGTTGATGGCTTGAAGGTCTCATTGGTGAGTTACCAGAGTGTGAGATTGAGGAGACGCGTGACAGATGAAACATGTCACATGCCGTCCTTCTGTGGGTCTGTTCTGGGACGCACTACACAGAAGGTACTGCAGTCACTGCAGTTGGTGCAGGAGTGCGTGGATCCCGTTCCAGTACCACCAAACTACATGCCGATCGATGCCGCTCCTTGAATGCAGGGAAGAGGGCCTCAGCCGCAAATTCTGCATCGACATCCTGTCGATGCAGCGCCCCATGCATACCATGTCCTGTCTATTCAAGGCTGCAGGCTTGTGGAGCTGTTCTCCAGGCTACACAGGAGCGTCCGACTCATCCGCCTCATCAGTCTTTGTGGGTTTTGAAATCTCATCTCTTGCAAAAGCGCAGTATCTGCTGTCCAGTTGCAGGGTCACTTCTGGATTGTGCAGGACACGCCGAGAAGCGATGCGTCGCAGAGCTCCGGGAGGAGCCGGAGCTGAAGCAGGCGGGAAGGAGCATGGAAACCTTCTTTTTGGAGGGCAAGATCTGGACCCCTCTGATCACTGCAATCGTTGCCTTAATTGGCTTAATTGGGATCCGTGTCGTCGTTTCAGCCTCTTGCACCTCAGGAACGCTTCAACCAGTATGGGATGCGCCAGCCGGAGTGTGCTGTGCGAGGCTTCCTGGAGGGCTGCGTGGTGCCTTGGCAAATAATCAGCGTTCCCAAAAAGGGCTTAGTTCTCCAGGGCAAATTTCTCCCATCCCAACTTACAGTGCTCACCAGGTAGCCGAGCCCTGTGCGCCACTCGTCATCGAGGATGAAGTGAAGTGCACTATTGTGCAATGAAGTGTACGCGGGTAGTTTAGATGCAAGTTCCTGGCTTCCCCTGCAGGACACGTGCATGTTCCGTGCTACGTCCTGCAATGCGCAAGTTCAGGAGGATGGACAGATGAGTGGGAGAGTACTGAGTTATAGTGCTGTTTGTGACTTGTGACGGCCTCGGGAGTAAGTTGGTTGATCCGATCCGATCCCTGCTTCTGCCGAGGATGGGGAAGTCCAAGGTAGGTTGAGAAAGGAGTAGAAGGGATCGAGATGGGATGAAGGAGTGAAGAAGGGAACAGAAGACGCGTGAGGCAGTGCGGACGGAACAAGAAAGAGCAAGAAGCAGCCAATACTGTAGCATGCTACCGCTGTCAGAGAATGCGCACCCTGCAAGAATCAACTTTGCTATTTGCAACAGCATTGTGATGCATTTGTGAGCGAGATTCTGAGAGTTATGTCTTGCACACAGCACACCGGGCCCGGACATTTTGCGGAAGGATTGATCCTTGGTTGTTCATGCCAACAAGTCTTTGGACCCTTTGTGGAAAGGGCCTGGACATAAATCTGGGAACTAGTCGAAATCCTGCAAAAGTGCGTTTTTCAGTGAACTCCTTTAAACGAACGAAGGCGGCTGTTATTCAGGGCTCGGATACGGCCGCTCAGAGATCATGACCCAGCATCGGTAACCTATCCTCGGCCTTCGAAGGGTCGCCTGGTCATCGCGTCCCTCCAGCCAGGCGAAAGTTGCGAGGCAATGGCCACCAGGGTGCATGACCATAACATCTCGAGCGGTTGAATGACCAGGGTTGCAACTAGTAACGACTGCCAGGTGATCTGCAAGCCTCCCTACAAGGTGTGGTCGAAACTTGTTTTGGACCTGCTGTAGTAGATATGAAAGCGGTCGCGACGGGGTTTGATTTAGAGGCACGTTCGTGGTCGAGATGCAAGCAACGAGTTGTCTTCTTGCTTTGAATCCTGCAGAATCACGTCTTCAGCATCTGTGCGGGCAGGCGAAGAGCGGCTGGGTGCAGTGCCCTTCAACGAACACGAACATCACAACCCCTCCGGCTGGGTCCACAGTGGTGTCGCACACCAGGGACACCTGCCAGATCAAGGACCAGTTTCGCTTGTGGGAAGGTGAAAGGTGAGACATCGCACCCTTGAGAATTGTCGGAATGCGAGAGGTGTTCGAATGTGAGAACGGTGGTAACGGTTGCTTGTTTGGGCTATTCAGGCCTCCGCTGCATCTTGAAACGATGTTGATGGAGACTGTTGTGACACAACATGACATGCTTCCGGGCTCATGATGGCTACTTGGGAAGCGGGTTCAAGCTGCTTCTACCGCACCACGCCCGTACGAGGCTCTAGATGGAGAGTTTTCAGCCAAAGGAGCTCCACGAGAACCCATACATGTCAACTCTGTCACACGCTTCTGAGGTCTGGATTCCGCCTGACTGTGAGCTGGGCTGTCCCAATGTGGCACCTCCACCCGGCTACGTGCGGCCCTTGGTCCTTTCCGGTATGCCAAGCTTCACTGGTCAGCAGGACTTCCTCTTGGAGGGCAGGAAAAAATTGAAATCAGAGGCGCCTGTCACAGTGCAAGCCACACTGCAACCAACGTCATCCAATAGTGAGTAGTGAAGTGGCCCTAGCACTGCTCGTATCCCCAAGTTAGTTTGCAAGATCTGGAGTGATCGAGTGCAGTTTTATCGCCAGCATGTCACTTGAATTGTCTGTGCAAATAAACATTGCTTTATTACGCTGCAGCCAAGGTCCATGGCTCTTTCGATGATTGGTGATGGGCTGAAGAATGCTTTCGCGCGAGATGGGATTGGGGAGCATGGGCAGATGGATTCGAGGTACTCAGATGAGAACGCCACCAACGAGTCGGAGGACATGTGGACGGCGCGCTGCGATGTATCTTCACATCAGTTGCATACAGTTGCACGTCGGATCGTCATGATCACGGAAGCCTATAGACTCTTGACAGTCTTCCAGCTTCGCAGGTTGCAGACGGAGACTGGACGTGTGCACCAGGCTTCACGGGCAGTGCCTCGAGGCACCTGGCTTCACAGCGGAAGCCAAGAAGCTCAACGCAAGCTCAACTTGGCGCTGTGGAGTTCTTGGGTTCAAGTTCGTCACTGTGCTTGTCAGGACCTGCCGCCTGCTGAGTGGATGTGACAGTGAGACTTCTTTCAGCGGATGTTCCAGGCACGGGTTGAAAGGAGGTATCCCGAGGCTACTCCCAGTTGACCTAGGCGACGCCTTGCTATAGCTGAAATATGCTGGAGTGTGCTGAATGGTGGCTGTGGTGAGATTTGTGCGAGGCTCCTCCCGTGTCTGCCACTTCAGTGGCAGGCTTGTGGGGTGAACGACGCGAGGCTGCAAACATAGCAGAGATTTTCCTTGATGCTTGCAATAGGCAGACGCCAAACCGCACAGCTGTCCCTCTCGTGACGACCCCTCCTTTGACGATCCACTTACAACAGGTCACTACTCATTCCTCATGCCCTCCTGATGTAGCACGATCACGAGCTGTTGCGGACCCTGCAGCATCAGCCTCTGAAAATTTGGCCCGAGGGCCCTTGTGCCGTCCAAGCTTCCGTCGCGCAGAAGCGGCTGAGGAAAGCGCCTGTGCACGAGCGCTGCTGCCGGGAGAGTCCTGTAACATCACCTGCGTGGAAGGTGGAATGGCCATGAAACACAGTTTCTTGTTGCTACGGGACACTTGTAGAAGGATGTCAGTTTGGAAGTGTTGGATTCCTAGAAGCTGTTTGTGGGGCCTGTGGGCATCTCTGGCCTTCTTTTGCTTGTGCAGATTTTGAGCTGCGAAGGCCACGTCGGTGGTCCTTTCGGGGCCACTTGCCCTGAGGGCAACACTCGACCAGGGAGGTCGCTCCGTAACTCCGGCTCTTGTGCCCTTGGGCGGTAGCATGGAAATCTTGCTCAGCACACAACGCTCTCATTGTTGAAGCTAGATGCCTGAAACATCTTGCGAGTTTGCAATGCAGGCCTCTGCAATTCCTGTCGGGGCCTCCGGTGTGTGAAAGGACACTGCTTCTTTCTAAGCCGTCTACGGTCGCAACTGTGACCCAGACTGCCCTCCAGACTGAGTTGATAGCGCAGCAATGCACTTGTGGAAGGATGTTTCCAGAGGGTGGCTGCTACGTCCCTGTCCAACCTCCACCAGGCACAGAGCTGGCAGCATGTGCCATGATTGTACGTGCTTAGTATGTCTTAGTATATCTTAGTATGCTCTAGCTTGTTCTAGCCTCCAAAGCATCAGTGATTGTCGTGGCCTTTGCCAAGGCTACGTTCGGCCAAGCAACACAAGCAACTGGACTTGTGCCGAAGGCTTTGTGGGCTCTGCCGAGGAGGCTGAGGGTGGGCATTGTCCAAAGCAAGCCAATGTCTGATTGCACGTTGGTCACGCGGACGTGTGTTGAGGTGTGCGAGCAGCCCACAGGCGACTGCGGTAACGAGCTGCAACTGCGGGGATGCAACCAGCTGCTTGGATGACGTCATCGGTTTGCTTGTGCTTCTGATGCCATTTGCATACCCCACTGCACCATGTGTTGCAAGCATCAGACGTTTGCACACTGCAATGCTTGAATCAGGCAGCAGCCTTGCAAGACGCTGGAACTGGAGAGCTGCTACTACGAAGCGATAGGCTGGAATGGGGGCGGCCATAGAACAATGACAACCGCTGCCAAGAGCAAAGTCGAACCAACGGTAGTGATGGGTCTCCTCGGGCCATTCATGTCGTGTCAGCAGATCTGCTAACGCAAAAGGGCCTTCCTTGCCCACACTGTGTGGTTGATGGGCACAAGGGCTACCATGAAGATCTTTCTGTGGCAGAATGTGGCAGAGGCTGCGCGGGGCTGATGGGCGGCCAGTCCTGTTGCAGCCTCTGTGCATCGTTCGTCGCTCGCATGCGACCTCTCGGCGAAGTGCCACAAGTGTGGAGACTCTGTCTTTGCAGCTCTTGGCCGTGCCATGTGGACAGATCTGTCCAGGTCAGGTCCACTGCCGTTCACCATCGATCGGCACGCCTGTCTGGGCAACGTGCCTTGGCTTTCGGCTTGTAACGGCCTGTAGCTCCCGCCTGGGAAGCATGTGATGAACTGCGAGATTTGCGATTCCTGCGATGTCCAGTCCAGCATATACATTCTGGGATAACGTCAAACAAGAAGGCCACCATAATTCTTGCGAGGGCAATCAAGCAATGAGAAAGGTTACTCCAAGACGAAGGCCAACCAAAACATGAGAGACTTCCCTTATCTTCCCTATGGAAAGAAAACATCCTTATTTAATGTGCAGATGCAGAAGGGCAGGAAGTTGGCCATCTCCTGCATATCTAGGGGTGGTTCGTGGTGGTGCACTTGGGGAGTTGGCTCAATAGCTGCTAGCTCCTCCGAAAGATGCCCAAAGGTTCCCAAGGCTTTAGGAGCTTAGGAGGGTAAAAGTGGGCAAACAGCTGAAGGTGTCCTGTGGGAAATGTGGACCCGGAGCAGGACGGAGTAGCAAGTGGTTCGGCACTGGTGTTCGTAATTTGGATCCGTCATGCTGCAAATCCTGCGCGGGCCTGCTGAGTTCACAATCTTCATCGCTAGTCTAGTGAACTCGCGCAAGTCACCTGGGGCTACCTGTGGATGGCGCAGGAACCAACATTTCTGCCTCCAACGTGTCGCATACCGGACTGCGATCTCCCAGATGAATTGCCAGAGGGCTATGAGATGCGGGAGGCCCATCATGCTTGCCCAGGTTTGTGTCGGCTAGGTTGGACAAGGGGCAGAATTTCAGCAGCAGTCGCACCAGGTCGCTTGACAATACTTGACAAGGACGGTTAACAAAATAGAATATCCTTAAGGCTTGCAGGCACTTGTAAACTTGGATTCCTCAGAAGGCCGCCCCGCCCCCCACCAAAACAAGGGACCCTACTTAGAATAAATCCATGCAATTATCAAATGGCCCTTCCGGGAGTCGCAGGACATCCAAAATGGCACCCTTCTCTGTGCGGACAAGTTTGCTGGTCGGCCGCAGGCACGAGACACTTTCTATTTCAGAACTTCAGAGGTCATGCACGCAGAGTGCGTGCAAACCACTTATCAAGGGGCTACCGGTGTTTGTGCGTGGTTCGGTGGGAGTGGAAGTGACAGTTCACTTGTGCACTCGCAGGATGCCTCTCCTTGACAGTTTCAGTGTTTGGGTCTGGTCAGTGCTCATAGCATGTCATAGCTGTGTCAACCGGGGAGCGCCAGTCACCAGTCCGAATCGAATGGTTCTCTTCGGTTTGACAAACTTCGCTTGCGAAGACATCGGTTGTCCCGTTCGGAGTCATGTTGTCAAAGGTCTGAGGTCTCAGCAGGCAGAGCGCGACTGGACTGGCACAGGTCACATGTGACTTCGATGAAGACTGCAACATAATTGCTCGTCTGGCGGGCTGCTTGCCCCTGCAGCCCTGCGCGCCAACCTCAGTGTCTCCAAGGTTTAGGGCGCACGTGTGCGAAACATCATCATCATCATCCCCTCCCGGAGCCCCAGATCTTAAATCCGGCAAAAGCTCGTGACTTGAAAGTGTTTGAAACATTCAGTCAATGCATGCACAGATTTTCTTGCAGGTGTAAGCCTTAAGCCCTGAACCCAACTCCCCAAGCCCCCGAGTGGAGTCGAACGAAAGTGCCTGCTTCCTCAGGCCGGACCAGCTAGTCTGGATGCTTGCAGGCTTGATGCCTACTCTGCTTCCTGCATGGACACCGCACCACCAGCTCTCTGGATACATAGCATACTGACCAAGGTACAGCATCAATGTTTGCACGGCCGTGGGCTCATGCAAAATGTGCTTCTTGCAAAAGTCATCTACGGTAAATTCGTGACGCAATTGCAGTCAGTCTAGAAGAAATCAGACTACCCGAGATGAGTTTCCCAGATCCTGCAACTGGAGCAGGATGGACCTCTGTTGGATGTGCCTGGTGGCAGCACGGTGCTCAGAGTTGGATTCCGGATTTAGTTGGTAGATTATCAGTATCATTAGTATCCGGTGGTGCAGAGTTCACAGGCTCGTGGCCGCAGAAGGGAATGCACAAGACGTGAGTATTTTGTTCTATAGCCGCATGCAAGATCATGCAAGCGCATGTGTAGCTTATGCAGTGTAGCCTATGTGTAGCATCAATGCATCCCAAGCAAATGTATTGTGGCAGACAGCTGCGTCAGACAAGGGTTTCTAACCGAAGTATTGGAAACTGCTGCGAAGGTGATGGCTACCAAACCGTGAAACCTGGCGGGGAGTGTCAAGTGAGTTGCCGCAGTGTCTTTGCCTTGTGCTCAGCTGTGCAGCACCTCAGTGCTCGGCACCGGTCTCCACAATTCGGCACCAGATGCTCGGAGAATCACCCATTGAGGTCGGTCCGGCCACGGTGGGAAAATGCCCACTGATGCTTGGATGCTTCCATTTCTGGTGCAGTTGGGGCTTCATGTGCTGCCAATGAAACAGACGAAGCAGATGCGGACTTAGGAACAACACTGATGCTACGCAGCCGCTGATCTATGCCCGGACCATAGGTGCTGCTTTTGCATGCATTTGCTCAACTTGTTCTTCCAAGATTGCAACAGAAGGCTCTGATGCCCAGGATCCTCCGTTGGGCTGCGAGTGCCCGGACGATCTGGTGCAGTGGCCAGAAGGTGCCAAGAATTCGAAGGCGTTGCCTCGGGATTGCTCTCTCGCCTTGGCCCGGAAGGCTACAATCAGACAGGCGCCCGGCCCTCGTGCGACTATCCAGGTTAGCAGAACTGTCACAGTTCGCCAGGGAGGCAGCGAGAGAATGCACGTGTCTATGACATTCTATGACAAAAGGGACGATGCGATGTTTCGTCGTCTGGGCAACAAGGTCATCAGCAACGATGGTCCTGAGCAGGTGCCGAGCCAAGCCTAGTCTGGAGTCAGGAAGCATTCAAGAGTTTGATCCTACACCGGACACTGCCAATCTCATCTCACTGCACCTCCTGTAGGAGGGCAGCTGGTACTGTGAAGAAGGCTACGGAGGCGTGCCCCAGGCTCCGCAACAGAGCTTAGTGGCCCCAAACACTTCATGCATCTTCTTGCTAGCTGCAAGTTCAAAGATCGAGTGATCGAACAGGTAACGTGCACTCTTGATGCGGGCTGCGAGCCCGAGATTTCGTTTCAGGCACGCTCGCGGGCCGCGCTGCCCATTCAACAGTCTGCGAGATCGGTTTTGACGTGTATCCTGCCTTGTTTCCTTGAGCCTTCCTCTTCCAGGGCTGTGCGCCCTTGCAAACCTGCAAGTCCGGTCCTCATTTTGCCAGTGGTGGCAAGTCCAATGCCGTCATCGCGCAATCACACACAGTCATACACGATCCACCTTGATCCACCAAGGCCCATGAATCTCACTGTGGCCCAATGCCAGTATGCCCGCGGCTTGAAGCGCGCATGGATCAGTGGGTTGAGGGATGCTCCTGCAAGTGCCTGTCCAACAACGGTGTGATGCTTTGCATCTCTTTTCGCATATCTTGTTGCGTACCTTTGAGGACATCTCGAACTGCACATCTCGCTTAGATGGAGGCGAGACCTGCGAGGCTCTGACCTGAACTCGTGACTTCAGCGACCTTGACCGTGCTATCTCATTTTCCCGCCTAGAGATTCATGCGGCTGACTTTGCACAGTAGAATGTCATTGGCTGGGCAGGTTCTTTGCAGACTCCCAGCTGTGGGAGAGGGTGTGATTGCGACTTGCCCAGAAGAGAATACAGTCTTGGACTTAGCTCCAGTATCAGTATTGCTCATGGCGCATCACAAGCGGGGCCGTGTCTGGACCTGATCAGAAGATGTCGGAAGGGAAGCCCAAGAACTGTCAAGAACACTGAGGTTCCCGATCAAGAGCTGGTGGCATGGAGCTTAGAACGTGGAAGACTGCTGAAATCGGGAAGCTTTTTTTGGGGTTGGCAACTTTGTCTTGAGTGCAGGTGCACTTTTTGTCTTGTTGCGCCGAACCACCCTCGGAATCAGTTGGCAGTTTGATAGAGTGGGCAATACGCATAGCAGATGAACAGTGAGGAAGAAGGCTACCGGCCGTATGTTCATGCAAGAGCGTTGCACCGCCCTCTTTCTGCGGCAGATGGCAGTTCCGGATCCCCTGACCGCTGGACAAATCGTATATTTGCTTTGGACTCAGAAGTGGTGTACAGGCACTTGAATCAGGTGAAGCTATCTATTTGAAGTTCTAGCTACGTGTACTTTGCAATGCTCCCTGCAGTGATGTTGCTCTTGCCTTTGGCCAGGCCCTTTCAGTTTCCAGTCTGCGAGACTCCGTCGTTTTGCCCGGATCCGAATCCTTTAACTCTTGGCTACGTCAGGACCTGCATCAGCCTTGTCACCGTGGGCATAGCTTGTATGTCATTGTGCCACGTCTTCGTCTGGGACGTTTGCCGGATGACCGCGAGGACTGGAATAGAAGGTGGGCCAGGCGAGGAGAACTACGCGTGCTGTTCTTAGCCGCGCTACGTGCTATGCCCCAAGCGCATCCCGAGCAGTGCTGCAAGACTGTTTCCCAATGCCCTAAGGTGTGCTGATGAGTATTCGGCTTCGCCGCGTGTGAAGCGGACCTGCGTCGACCTGGCTTGTGTTTGCATTGGCCTTCTGTCAGTCTGTCTCTCACACCATGCTCTCACCATCTTGGCTGGTTCTCGCTCATCTGCGGCGAGGTTATGTCAAATACATCGGATCCATTGGCCCCGCCCAAGCCTCACAAATCATACGCTTTGCACAGGCCATGAAGTGTGTACGCAGCCCATGGTACCTCTCAGGTGCTTGCTTGAGCCGGTCTTTGAGGGATGTCTTCCCATCGTTAACTGCAGCGGCATTGACGAGCGGATGATCGACACCTGCCGCTGCTTCCTCGGACTTTTCGCATCTCCACCCGTGGCAAGTCCCAGCTCCGTGCCGTTGCAGCGGGTTTCATCAAGACATGTGGCATGCAGATCACGTCGCTTTCAAGGCACTGACGGTGACAAAGCAAGCCAGCTTTTGGAACATGTTGGCACTGTTTGTCAGCGCCAACTTAGGCTACGATGTCTCCAACTGCCCCGAGTACTTCGAACCAGGTTCGGGATGTGAGGCCATCCTGATTGCAGACATCCAGGAGCATCTTAGAGCCTGTTCCACGGGCTCTAAGCCTCTGAGCGCGGCCCGCTTTGCCAATCTTTGGGGGGACAGTCAACAGGTTTCATGCCGAGCGCCCTTCTACGTCGGTGCCGGTGCAGCTTTGGCTTCCTGCCCCAGTGCCTGGGCCTCAGCAAAGGCCAAGAGCAAAGGCTCTCGCTCAGAAGGCTCCCAGAATTCAGAGATTCTATGTCCCCATTCCATTGGCTTCTGAAACTGAATCAACTCAGCAGCTTTCACACACTGATTCGAAACGTATCAAGACAGCGCCTTTCCCTGTTCGACTCCGTCGCAAATCAGAAGCCATCGCGATTGAGAAGGCATCGCTTTCTGAAGTATCCCATATTGTTCAAGCTGCGTTTCAAAATTCCAGCATCATTACGCCGATCCCGTGCCGTATATCTCGACTTTTCATTTTTGCATGCCCGATAGTCTTACAAATCGGTTCTCTGAAAAGGTTCGGGTCCTGTTCAGTCATTGACAACTTGCAGATGTTTTCAAATCAGTGCTTCACCCCTTCCGGTTTCCCATTCATGGTTCGCGAATCACCATATACAAATGTTTGTACCTTTCCACAACGTGATAAATCCATTCCCCACTTCCATGCTCCTCGCCTCCCGGGCGGCTCCTTGTCCTGTTCCCTTGGAGTGCCCACCATCAGAGAAGCCCGCAAGAAGTCCCGCCGACGGGAGTGCCCCACCTGCAGAGAGTCCGCCCCTCCTAGAGACTTCCGCGGAGAGTCCGGAGAGTCCCGCCGAGTATCCTGGAGTCCCGTATCCCTGTGGAGCACCCGCCAGCCCGCAGACCCTGTGGCGAAGTATCCGTGCTTGCCTGCCTGCAAACGATTTGCATATTTGTGTCCGAATCATGGATTCCAAAGCCGTGTGCGACGCAGTCTAGACCGAGAGGTAGAAAGAATGAGTTCACTTCACCCTGCCCTGCGTGTGTTGTTCTCTCAAGACCGTGCTCAGGATAACACGGATCCAGAGAAGCAGATCGAGTTTCCTGCAGACTTGGTATGCGTGTCTCTCAGAACCGACAAGGCTTTTGACGGTTTGCTTAGTTTCGGGTTATAATGAGGGTGCATGGTCTCCGTCACCCGGAGCCGCGGCTTCGGCAAGCGATCTAGTACCAAGCTGGTCTTCAGTTCGAAAATATTCGATCCTTGATGAATGGCTACTGTTATATGCCATCTCGTGCAGAGACTCAGCGTTAAGTCAGGAATCGTTCAGCACAGGGTCATTGAGTCATGTCGGCCGGGAAGGCGTTCGCCACGTGGCTGAGGCGCAAAGGCCTGCCCAGAACCTGATCCTATTCCTGCGGGCTATGAGAAGGCTCTCCGACTCCGAGCTCTGAGTTGCGCTGCGGCGTGCGGAGTCACGTTCTGTCCGACGTCGTCGCTCTCCTCTCCCGAAGGTGAATGGCGAATGGCGGTGTGCGCTTGGCTACCTCGGGTCTGCTGTCGCGGAGTGCATTGCCAATGCCCCGGCAGTCAATGGCATGGAGTCTGTGTGCAAAAGTTCATGAATTCACGGAGGCTCCGCCTCGTGTCATGAATGGGCACCGTCGAGCATAGTGACTTTAAGCGCCGTTTGACCTAGGTCGAGTCAATCTTCAGCAGCAGTACAAGGGCTGTTGTTTGTTCTGTGCGCAGCTTACGGTGGGAATCTCGAGCTGCCAGGTGGTATGAAAGTGCATGAAAGTGCAAAGTAGACTAGGGAAAGGGCCCGGGATGCCCGTGCCAGTGGTGCCAAGTACATTGATATTGATCGAGTCCTGTGAGGCTCGCTTGGATCTCACTGGCTGTGATCCCACGGCATCCTGTCAGCCTCCCACGTTGGATCAGCCCAAAGCTCAACATGATCTCAGAATCAATTTTCAGCAGCCGATCTTGACGCCATTGCATGTCTTTGTACACCCTGAAAAATTTCTGCAGCGACGGACTGGCGTAGTTCACCGCGCCTGAGTCCTTTTCCCGTTTCTCCTTCAGGTGTATCTATGATGTGTCGGACTGTCTCAGCGCCAACCCGCCCTGTTCAAGGTTCAGAAGTTGGAGTGGTGAATGGTTGAGGTTGGCGAATCGTTGCCCGTGATGTTCTCTGGATGCAGCCAGGGTCCCATTGCTCCCCCCGCGGTGTAATTAGAGATAGTGAATATAGTGAGGATAATATACGCACACACTGCCAGGTGATCGGTGGGACGAATTGCTCGCTTCGATGCCGGAGTCCCCCTTACGAGGCCAGGCCACAGTCAAATGGACTCCAAAAAGTGGCACAGAGTTGCACAGCTGCTTGGTCCACGGATGTCCTGAGGGCACTCCGGTAAATGCCTCTTGTCCCGTGGGGAACCTGGACCCCTTTCGCGCTGTTGTGCCAGCCTTACAGAGCTTCGTGCCCCGAAAAGAACACGAGTTGACCTACTTCCTCCAATCGAGTACGGGGTTGGCCGGCCTGAAGTTGGCCTCAAGGACTTCGAACCACCGACCTGTGAGCTGCGCTGTCCAGTGCAGGAGGCAAAGCAAATCAGACCAAGTGGATCCAGTCACATATGCACTCTCCGCTCTTCTTCCAAGTATCCCACCTCCACATCGGTAGACACACGCCTCGAACCTTACGACTGGCTTTGCGCATGCACTTTTGCTGACTTTTCGGTCTCACGAGTGCTCAGTAGCTTGTCTGGTTGAGTGGCGCTAGGTGTTACCGGATGGCTACAACTACACCAACGGGAGCTATGTTTGCCTTGACGATTGGTTCGGATCGGCTGTGGCAGATCCTTGCAAAGCACAGCAGACCAAAGCAGATTCATAAACTTAAGCGCGCAGTCATGATCGCAAAAGTATGCGATAAAGTATGCGATAAAGTATGCCTTGCTTGTTTCTGGTGTCAGAGTCGCCTTGCCCAGTGCTGAGGAGTGCATCACGAATGACGAGGACTCGAGTCCGAACTGTCCGGAAACCGCAGACTGCAGCAAAGTGGACTTGCCCGTGGCTGCAGCAATTTGAGGACTGCACCTTTGGCGTCGCTCTGTCAGGGTGTGGACAAAGTTCTCCTTGCGTGGGCTTGCCTGCTGCCCAGAGAAATGACATGTCGCTTGCAAAAGGCCAGCGTAAAAAAAGGCAAGCATGTCTTGCTTGCCCTTCGGTTCATCCAGAGGCTTGCAGCGCTAAGTTGGAGGTAGTCCGGCCGAGACAAAGCAAGTAGCCTTGCGGCCTTGCCAAGGCCGTCCAACACCACCGACGGATGCTATTTTGACGTATCTCCCCAGGCTGCCTGCAAAGAGAGTGCTATGCATAACACAGGGTTAGGTGTGTTTCCCTTAACGAGTACGCGCCAAAACCCCATTTCCAATTGATTTGCCCAAGTGCTTTTTCAAATTAGCATACCACTTCATCCTCGAAACTCCCGAATTCCCTCAATTCATGCCATCAGTTGTCCACCACTGTTTTTCAACTTTCCAGGCCTCGTTTTTCCATTTGCCAACCTACCACTATCCAGTAGGCAAAGCTCTCCTAGGCAAAGCCCACCTCTTCGGAAATGCTTTCCCCACCCTCGGCAACCAACCCAGAACACCAAGAAACCTCAAGCACATCCAACCTAGCAATACAACTAAGCAGGCAATGTCATCGTAAATCATCGTAATATGGTTTGGGTTTGGGGCGTTAAGGGTGTTGTAACATGAATATAAACCTATAAAGCTGCCCGTAGGCTCTATTTACATCATAGTACCGTGCTGAAGGAACGGGGACTCAAAATTTGCTTGCCTCGCTTACGTGGTCATCAACAGGTCACTTCAATCAGTCAAGATCCTACCCTTTCTCATACTGCTACCAAACCGAATATGGGTTGTTGGGATTGGGGTTCGGTATTCCCGGCGTCGTGTTGTTGGTGGGTTGAGATTATGGGTTGTGCTGGTATGCTAGGAAAGCGGTCGGAACATCAATTGCGCACATGCTTGCATGTGCCCCTGTGTACTCACGACACAATGGAGTTTGGTGAGTGAAAGCCGTGTGGGTCGTGGGTTGGTGGGGCCGGTGTGCGGGTTGGGGGTGAGGGGCAATGGGCATGTTCACGGTGTACAGTTTAAATCGGCAAGAGCACACACACACACACGTCTATCACGTAATAAGCTCTCTCGTCTTGGCCTGAGGCCTGCCTGGCGGAGGACCCAACCTTCCCACAAGCCAACTTCGGACGTGGCCCAGGAGGCAGCTGTACGGTACCTCGGCTGCCTCGTGCTTTTCCGGATCCCTTCCACAAGGGATTCTTCAAGAAACATTAGCCCGCCGTGGGCCGCAGTAGGGGTCTGTGTCTTCTCGAAACGAAGTTTGAGCCCTTCTCTCCAGCGACAGTAGTGCCGTCCCTCAAGGTGAGCTGCCGGCCCCCTTGCTCCGCTCCGGCCACTCGAGCTGCACCAAGAACACTGTTTTGCAGACCTGGAGGTCCTCCATTAGCTTTCAGGTTCCTCGAACAGCTTTTCCGGTACATGTGCTGTTGCCCGTGCCAGAACAGATAGGCCTCATGCTGGTGCCTGAACTGACAGGAAGGCGTTCAGACTATGATCTGCCCGGCTTCAAACCTCAATGCGCAGCTGCCGCTGCAGGCAGGATGGGCCGATGAATCTTAGACCTACCTCATCTTACCCGCATTCGCCAACTTTCTCTCGCGAAGCTCGGCCAGGGCATTCTTCCCAACTGCTCCTTCGACTGCGATCCAACGGACCGAAATGGCGGCTATGCAAAGGCAGGTCCGCGCCACTCATTAGAGGTGCTCCTAGCATGCCTGATTACTGTATCTACTAGCAGCTTCACCAAGGCGACCTTGCTGTTCTGTCACATTGTGTCAGGGCGCCGACGGGGAATGGCGGTGTGCTGAAGGCTTTGCTGGCGAGGCCCTGCTCGTCACTCCTCGGTTCACAGTGCCGTCTCACAGAGCCTTAAGCTGTCAAACGCCCCCCCCCCTCCAACACAAAGAATACAATCCTTCCTTCCATTTGAGCATCTACCGGTCAAACAACTGATCAAATGGCCGTTCGTATGCTGCGTGGGCTGCAGGTCGTGCCTTACTGCATGGCCGGCAATGTCTGTGCGGACGGGCGTTCGCAGGGAAAGTTTGCTGCACATTTGGGAATCCTTCACCATTCGTGTTCTGTGTGCTCAGCCACAGCAGGTCCTCTTAACTTAACACGTATGACTTATTGCAGATGAGAAGAACTTCGCTTTAGGTGCATGTAGTTAGCAGGACCAGCTGGCCCTGACTGGATGCGCTCAACAGCAGCTCCTCAACTTGAATTCAGCTCTTCCCATTCTCTGCTTGCCACCAAAGCCAAACGTGTGGTCATGGCAGCATGTTTATAGGTTCAGGCTTTCGCTCTCAGGCCGTGCCTAGCTCCTGTTGTCGATGAAGCTCCATGCCTTTTCGATGTCTCGGATTGCGAAGGCATCGATGCTGCTTGCGTACAGCAGTGTCCAGGTTTCAGTTCACTGAAAGAGCAGCTTTCTGCAGGTATTCCGGCTGGAACGTCCTGCATAGTTCGCTGCGCAGCCCCCTACTACCTAGGCAGCGTCAGGCTCCTTCAGTGGTCTAAGTGTTCTATGTGCCCTTTCGGCCCTTTCTGACTTATGGATGTCACTCTTGGGAGGCCGGCCTCCTGCTCCATCAACAACACTCGCTTAGACGGCCGTGCCGAGCTACCAGTTCGTCCGGTCTGCACCTGGAATCCAGCGGACTGGGGTTGATGAAGCTGCAGCCTGCGTGCAGCCTGCGGCGCTGCGCGGAAAGCAGAGTGATGCTGCAAGCGCAGGAGCTTTGTCCTGATCCTCCAAGTTGGCCGGCTGGTCCGGCGCTCGGCTTCCTCATCTTAAAGGCTCAGAGGAATGAAGAGAATGAAGACCGGCCTGGAGGCTATGCTTTCGATGATGAGACCGGCACCTGGGTGTGCGCCCCTGGCTATGCGGGGACAGCGGCCAGTGGCCCAGAGAATAGCCCGGCCATAGGGCCCACACAGCATCACTGGACAGAAGCGGGCCAAGCAAGACAATATTCGATACATATAACCCTCTTGACCGTTTTGGTTGCTAGCTTCGAAATGCGGCTGTGGCATTCAGATTCGGCGGTGCGCGCTGCGGCTTTCCAGTCCCAACTCTGCTCAGTGCATTCCAGAGGCTGCTGGGAGTGGAGGGGTGCTTTTGGGAGCCAGTCGGTTGTCAGCGACATGTCATTCACTCATTCACTCATGGCATCACCATCTGTTGGCAAATCCAAAGTACTTGCAGAGTTCACTCTCCATCCATAGGCAACTTTTCTCGGCTGCTTCCCGCTGACGCCATGTGTCGAGCCTGTTGTGCCTGGCCCCAAGCGGGCAACATCGGGCAACGCACATCCTAGGACAACGCACATCCTAGGACGCCCATGCAGTGATACGTAGAATATTCAGCCGGCAGTCTGAAGCCCGAGGAGGGACTGCACCTATAACACGACACTGTCCGCGAACTTGACGTCTGGAGCTGAGTACTCGCAGCTATCAAAGCTCTTGGAGCCGAAGAGTCAATCAGCAACTCTTCCATGTATTTTCAAGTTTGCGGCCTCTTTTTCCCGAATGCGTAGCGGAGGGTTCCCGTTTTAAGAGGTGGGGTTCCAGGGGTCACGGTCAGGGAGTTTACGTGGCACCGTGCAAAAGTGTTCGCAAAGCGTCCGAAATTCGAAAGCGCCCCGCTTTGGTTCGAATGGAGCGGTAGTTGTGGAAACCCAGCGATTGGCATAGTTTTGCTCATTGCATGTCTCAAAAGTGCAGACAGTCACGAGAATGAGGCACCTGGGCGGCGCCATCCTTGTGACAGTCATCAGTTTTTATGCTTCTCCTTTACATTGTGCTAACATTCACGAGGATGAGGCATCTGGTGGGTGGCACCATCCTCGCGATTGTCGTCGCTTTTGAAGCTGTTTTGTTGTTCACAGCTCAAATGTGCAAACGCTCGAAGCTTGGTTTGCTGTTCACAGCCCAAAAGTGTAGGCAGTCACGAGGACGAGGCACCTGGGCGGGGCCAACCTTGTGACTGTCGTCACTTTAAAGCTTGGTTCGTTGCTAGCGTCTCAACAGTAACAGACACGCGGATGTGGGGTGCGTCATTCTCGTAACTGTCGTCGCTTCTGAACCTTGGCATCGTGTTCACGACTCCTGATTCCAGGCCTTGCTTATCACGGGGTGAATGGTGGGGTTTTGCTGGTGAATAGCCACAGCGTGTTCACGATTTCCGGGTTTTGCTTGTCGGGGTGACTGTGAAGGTCTGATTCCAGGTTTTGCTTATCGGGGGGGGAATGGTGGACTCCTACAAAATGTTCCTGATTCCAGGGCGTGGTGTGTAGCTACAACGTGTTCACGATTCCGGGTTGTTTGCTTGCCAGGTGGTGTGTGGATGTGTGTGGTATAATATACCTACCGCGCGTTCCTGTTTCCGGCTTTTGCATATCGGGGGGGGGGGGGGGGGGTGGTGAGTGGTGAATACCTGCAAAGTGTTCCTGATTCCGGGTTTTGCTTATCGGGCGGTGAGAGCTCTCTTTCCGTCTCATTCTCTCTGTCATTCTCTCCTTCAATATCTCTTTTACCTCTCTCTCCCTTTCTTTCTTTGATCTCTCTCTCTCTTTCTCTCTCACTCTCGTTCCACATCTCTCATCTTGCTCTCATCTCTCTTTCATCTCTCCCTTTCTCTCTCTCACTCTCCCGCTTTCTTTCTTTATTTGATTCATTCTCTCTCTTCTTCCTCTTCTTATTCTTCTTCTTCTGCGCACTTAAGGGCCCCCCATTCTGTCTCTCTCTCTCTCTCACTCTCTCCTTTTCTTTCTCTTTCCCTTTTGCCCTCACTTATCTTTCGCGTCCGCTTTCGCTTTCTCTTTATCTTTATCTTTTTGTTTCTCTTTCTCTTTATCTTTCGCTCGCTTTCGCTTTCTCTTTCTCTTTCGCTTCATCTCATCTCTCATCTCTCATCTCTCATCTCTCATCTCTCATCTCTCAGCTCTCAGCTCTCAGCTCTCATCTCTCATCTCTCATCTCTCATCTCTCATCTCTCATCTCTCATCTCTCATCTCTCATCTCTCATCTCTCATCTCTCATCTCTCATCTCTCATCTCTAATCTCTCATCTCTCATCTCTCATCTCTCAGAGAGAGAGAGAGAGAGAGAGAGAAAGAGAGTGCGTGAGTGAGTGAGTGAGTGAGTGAGAGAGAGAGCGAGAGAGAATACAAGATAGAGAGAGAGAGAGAGAGAGAACGAAATAAGAAAGAGAATGCCCTCTGGCCCCAATGAAAGAAAGAAAGACAGGGAGAGAGAAAGAGAATGATAATGAGAAAGAGAAAGAGAGGGAGAATGGGAGAGAAAGAGAGAGAGCGAGCGAGAATGAATGCGAAAGGGAGAGAGATGAGAGAGAGGAGAGATGAGAGTTTCAGACGAAGAGATGAGGGAGAGAGAAGTGATAAGCGGGAGAGAGATAAGATGAGAGAGGGAGAGATAATTGAGAGAGACAGAGAGAGCAAAAGATGCGGATAATGCACTTCAGTTCGGATCTCGTGTCGTGCACCGCGTCTCTTTTGGCTGCCATGTACGTAATGCGTATCTGCATTCGGGTTCGTGGCTCCTATCAGTTTGTTCTTCTCATTTTCCATTTCTTCTTCTTCTTGAGGCCTGGCTCAACGGGCCTGATCTACTGCAATGCCGGAACCTTGGTGGACAGCGAGGATTGTTATAGATTCACTGTAGAAATCTCCGGGTGTGAGGTTCCTTACGATGGGATCCCGAGCCTGGCGCAGTGCCCGATCGACAACAACCGCGAGGGCCAGGCCCAGCGCTTCCTTCTTTGCTGGCGAACGCGGGTCTCGACATGAGCAGCGCTCCGCAAAAAACAAAAGCATGTCTACAGAGAGGGCCGGCCTGGTGATCGCAGGGCACACGTAAATTCCTTAAGATTTTGGCCCGTGGTAACCGATATATTCTGATTGGAAGGAGCCGGCGTATACGCTTCCTGACTGCACGCATGCGTGCCCTCCAACAGTCGGAGATCCTGTTCCGTGCCTTGGAAAGCAATATGGCATGCGAATGCAAAAGGGCACATAGACTGACATAGTGACATGGATGCACACGGTTGAGTGATTTGAGTGGTGTTAGCTGTGCTTCTGTCAGGCCTGGCTTCGTCTGGCAGCCAGACTCGAAGGATCATTCTTGACATTCGCAATTGCAAGTTCTGACTCATGTTGAATTCAGTCCGCAAGGAGTGGGTGTGCGACGTCGGATATCTCAGCCCAGCTGAGGTGCACATATTGTACAAAGCTTGCTTTGCCTGTAGGCCCTTAGCCAGAGACCACCTGAGCGTCGGGTGAAGCCGATTGTTCCTTGTCTGGTTGCACAGCTGCTGCAAAGTTCCTGAATAGCTCGACTGCGAGGTGAACTGCACCACCAACATTGCATGCGAGTGGAAGTTGGACTTTGGGGGCTGTGAGGAGCTTCAGCCGAGCCCAGTCTGCACAAAGCCACTTTCGACGCCACTCCAGCGAGCAGCGCATAGCGGCATTCTTTCCGGACGTTGAAGGGATGTGTAATTTGGGGGTATCCCTCCGATGAGGCCTTCTGAACTTGTACGATGACAAAGACGTGCTAGTGTGCTACGGGGCAGCTACCGTCAACATACTAAAACACCCGTGTGCTACCATGCAACTTGCGCACGCAATGGGCTACATGCTCTGCTGCGCGCTCTTTTTCTGAGGTGTGCCGACCTGAACATGACCAGCTGTGTGGTGGCCGCATGTCTTGCAGAGTTTCGAATATCAGCTCAGGGTAAACTGGACACGCTTATGTTTATGTGTTGGAGTTTCATTTGATTTTGCGTGGATTTCAGTTGTCTTGTCTGTGTTCGTTGCCGGATAAAGCAGCCGAAACTAGAACTTGCAACCGCAAGGATGGAGACGCCTGTGTGAACATGGGCTACGGGGACACATGCACATTGAGTTGCAGGGCGCTCCCCGGCCGCACCTTACGTGGGGGGGGGGGCAAAGCCGGCAAAGCCGGCAAAGCATGCCCGAGCGCAAGGGCTTCTGCAACAGCAAGTGCCCCGCTCAGGCCACATTTTCTGGGTGTCAGCACGGTTGCGACCTGCGCCGCTGACAACATCGAAGCTCGTCAGATTAGCCACTCGTTGGGGAATGAGCTTCAACTGCTCTGCGCACTCCGAGGTATTCGGCCGTGAGCTGCAGTTCACGCTGCCAAGTTGTGAGGCCAAACCGTGGGCATCCTCTGAAGATTTTTTGAGGAATTGTCTAGACAGTGCAGAGTAGTGCTGAGTAGCCTTCGTGCACATTGCGCCCGAGTTTGCATGCCTTGCCGCGCTTCTGAAACTCTGGAAAGAACAAGATGCTCTTCTTTACAGTGCATATTCAGCTGTCGGAAGGTGACCTGTCCTGATCCAGACAATCCTCCAGCGGGATATCGGAAACTTGGCCTCTGAACCAGCTTCTTCCGCCAGATTGTGCGCGGCAGCATGCACCTCATGCACCCCCGTAAGTGGAGTGAGCAAGCTTGAGTTTAGTATTCAGCTGCTTCTGCAAAACTCGTAAAAAAATGGTTTGCCTGTGGAATCTTGGAGATGCAGCTTCGGTGGCGGGGGCAACCCTGGGGTTCCCCTTGAAAGTCCGCCCAGGCGCTGATCCACAGCAGGCTCAAACTGACCCGAATGCCGGAAACGTACGACACGTGTGTATGCCCAAGTTTCGGCTCTTGACAGCTTTGACACCAAAAGAAGTATCCTGTCCTGAAGCAAGAGGCTATCATGTGCCTTTCTCAAGAACAAGGCATTGGGGAAGACTTTCTTCTGGAATTAAGCGAAGCGATCTGTCTGACAGTTCTTGATGTCGCAGTCCGCCCACGGAACGCGGAGAAAGCGCAACGAAAACCCTTCCGCGCCCTTCCCAACGGATAAACTGAATCCTTTGTGGTGTGCAAGTGCCGGCACGGGTCTGTACACTCGAAGACACAAGTCTGAACAGCTGTCAGGAAGCTCGGCACAGAGTTCGGGGTGTGCCGTGGCAGCACACAGCGCAGAGTGGACCTGAAAGTTGCTCCACTTGTCAGCTCCCGCGCCGGGTCCCGCGTGTTTCAATGCATCTCGGTCTTTGTGAGGTGGGAGTGTGCTGCTGGCTATGCAGGGACTGCTGTGAAAAGCTGCGATACCTCATCGTGCCTTGGTGGCATCCGGTAGTATCTTTGGAGCTGGCTTCGGGGATAGTCATAGTTGTAGGGGTTCCTGCATGGCTTTCATAAGCAATGCTCTCCAACGCATACACGCGGCTTGGATGTCAGCCACTTTAGCTCAAGGGTATCCGGTACGCAGAGACGGGCGAGCAGAGAAGCAAGCCAACTTGTGGCTCATGCCCAGATCCGCTCCAACACTGATGGAAGCCCTCTTTGCGTCTAGCCGGGTTCAGTTCACTCCAGCTGCAGGTACGAGGATGGTTGCATAACGACCACTGTGCTCAGCGGATGCTTGCTCATCGTGCCATGTGGTGCCCTCAGAGCACCCCCTTTGCCTGCTTACCCTGTTGAGTGCGACGACATTGCGAAGAAAAATGCCACGATTTGAATCTGCTTCTCTCTCTCGAGCGCTGGGTCTTCGAAAGCTTCGAAAGGGTGAGAGCTCAGGTAGAGCTCCGGATCCCAGGACTCAGCCGCCCTGTCCCTTGGAACGAAGAGCCGTGCAGAGGGTCCGTAGAGCTTTTCTTTTGACTTTCTTGAAGACTTGGGCGGATGCTGCAAACGGGTGCGATGCCACGAGTCCTGCCAACCGTGAGGCTTCTACGACACCTCCATGTGCCTCTCCATTCCTTCCGGTAGCAGTTGTGCCTCGTCTGTGCAGAACCTGATGTCTTTTGCCAGCACGTGTGCAACCTGTGCTTGGAACAAAATGCCAGCAGAGTCCAGTTTTGAGACGCTCAGGCACCGTCACCTGTTTGGCGCCATACTCCGGCACTGTGGGTCGAGGAAGCTGTCCTGTGCCGTGGCCTGTAAAGTCAAGGATTGGGAAGTGTTAGGACTTCGGCCCGCAAAAAACGGTCTTGGCAGGTCCTTCATGTTTTGCTGTGTTCGCCCGGTGTCTTGTTTCCTTGCTGTTCGCTTTGGCCGTGCATGACTCTCATGCATTTGCGTACGAATGAATGTATGCTGCAGCTTTCACTGCTTGGTGGGTCGACCGTTGACCGTAAGGACTCGGACTGGGCAGACTCATTCGATTCGTTGTGCGTCGCTCATCACCTGTCCTCAGGCCACTCTCACCCCGTCTCCTTCCGAGTTTGTGGTGAAGAAACTTCAACAAGAATCCCAAAGAGGAGCGATGGAGACTCCTATCACGAAACCCAGAAGTTGAAGCTCGAGCTTTACCAAAAAGACCCTGTTCGCAAGCTCCCGAAGGCAGTCATGACTGTCAACACACTTCCCTTCAAGATCCAAAGGATGGCCCCCCCCCCCCATGCACCTTTGGGAACCATCCAAAGGTCGAAAACGTTCCAGAGAGCCTGCTTTTTTTTGTGCATCCCTGCATTCTTTGTGCATCTTTCGGTGATTTTCGCCCAGGTCAACAACACAGATCCGAACAGGCAGGCAATCGCTCTTTGAGTAGGAAGGCGTTACGCCTCATCGCTGGAACTGGCTTTGAATGCCAAGACGACTGTAACTTGACATGACCGTTTGCTCAAGTCGCTTCGCACAAGCACAGCAAATGCGTCAATGGCAAACGTGTCGAGCAGCTTGTGAGCAGGCCCTTGGCATACGAATGGCCGATCTGCTCCTTAGCAGCTCGCCTGATCCAGTCTGGTCGACACAGACCCATCAACCAGAGTGGGCTCGGAGCAAGACGTCTCTGTTTCCTCGTGTGTGTGTGTGTGTGTTCGAGGACCCATGTCCGGATCCGGATCCCATGCCAACTGGCTGCTTGCCTGCTCTTGATCGCAGGCTGTTGGCACATCAGGCTGTCACGTTGAAGACTGCCTGATCAGAACATGGTTCGGGTGCTGGTCCGTGATGATTACCCACTACGAGTTGTGCGCGACAACACTGAGGCTATGTCAAAGTTACAGGCCACTGGGCAAAGACTTGCTCGTCTCTGATATCTTCGCCGAGAGAGAACCGAGTCATCACACTCATGGACACACGTGTAGCGTGCGAACGCATGGCCTAGTCCTTGTCTGTTCTGCCCGCGAGCTGAAGGTGGCAACCTGTCCTGGCGCTGCGCAGCAGCTTGCATGACATGGGATGGGCCCAGTAAGCGATGTCAGCCTCCATCGCCCCTGAACCTGGTGTTGGGTCTGCGGCTCGCATCTTCGGACTCGGATGCGCAGCGAAAATGATGGAGTCGTTTCACATGGATCCAAGGACGACCATGTCGGTGTCCCTGCAATTTCTTGCCAGCTGACTGCACATAAGCAGGCGGTGAACTTGAAAGGTGTCGCATATGCCAAGTGCTCACACTCTGTGCAGGCCCTCCAGAGTAGGCATTCAAGGGAGTGGCTGCGAAAACGTCGCGGATGCCTCATAACGCTTCAGGTGACGCTACGCTGCCAGATCCTACATCAGGATCGGGCCTGAGGATCCCAGGAATCCGACTGCGATCTCAGCACTGACGATGCAACGCAGTAGTATCAGTGCCTTGCCTTCCATGTGTTTGGACGTCTGCTGGAGGCATCGTGAACTGCAGTGTCGTCTCAAAGCTCACTGGGTGCATCGGCAAGGCAAGGCTTGATCAAGATCCCATGTCTACATTGCGTGATATTGCGTGGTGCTGGCAGTGCAGGGGCGAATGCGTCCCTGGCAGGTGCCTTGCGTACCTTTGCCTCTGGATACCTGCATGCTTGACTCCTCCAATTGCAGCGGCGGCATCCCAGCAGCTGGACGTCCAATCAGACTGCGACAGGGATATACAGGGACATACAGGGATATACAGGCATCTAGGGATGATCTGCCTGTAGGGCACTCAGGGGACTCTGCTCATTGCCAGTCATTGTCCAGGCCGGTGAGTCATGCGACGTTAACTGCAAGTTCCCGTACACTGGAACCCCGGGCGAGGCCATTTGAATGTTTTGGCTTTCGGTGCATACTTGGCCGCATGTCACGGGCATATGTCTGGCATGGAGTACGACAGGCAAGCTGCCCTTCGGTGAACAGCGATCCTTATTTCCTGCCGACCCTGATGCCGCCCAGTTGTTCGGTGGAGGCTTTGTAGCAGCTATTCCCAGGCAGCTATTGGAGCTTGGACCAGTGCTAATTCAATGCAAGAGCAGAAAGAAGACGCAGCAACAGTACAGATCAGCCCAGGACTGCTCGCAGCTGGAGTCCAGAGCTACTGGATATCGTAGGAAGATCAACGAGACGGGTTGGGAATGCAGTCCGGCTCAAGCAGACTTGTGTGCGTGAGAGAGAGAGAGAGAGAGAGAGAGAGCTCGCTCTTGTGGAGAGGGACCTCCTCGTGCGTAGACATTTCACACTGACTGGACGAGACTTGGGCGCGCATTGTGCGCGGGGGGCGCCCTTCAAGCCCCGAAGAAGAAGAAGAAGAGTGAGCGAGCATCGTGCCTCGAAGCTCATGCCCATGCTACGTAACGTGTCAGAGAAGCCCCACTCAATGATGGGCTCAGAGTGGTTCATTTTGCGTAGAGACCGCAAGCGAGAAACCGCGCCTCTTCCAACTAAACAAGAGGTCAAGCGAAAACCATTTGAAGCACCTGACCTCTTGATCATAGAACTGCAGGTGAGTGAGTTTGCGCTTCTGGGTGCTAAGGTGATGATGGTTTTGCCGGAATTGTGCGAGAGGATTGCTACTTGGAGTTCGACGTAGAGCCATGTGCGGCACTTGGAGAATTCCTTCCGGCGTGCTGGTTCAGGGTACGGGGTTTGCGTGCGCTTTGCGTGTTCCCGGCCGCAAAATGCAGGCGGGACTCCTCAGCTGCTTCTGTCGGGCTGCTTGCCGCTGTCGGACTGCTTGGCTCGGCGCCTATCTGTACAAGTGACTTTCAACGGAGCGTTGGAACATGTTGAAACCAAAAGCTGGGGCTAATGAAGATCCTAAGATCCTCCACATGAGAGAGGGCGAGGGAGAGTGAAGAAAGGGCAGAGCCAGGCTCCAATGGTCGACCTCTGCGCGTTCAACGTGCAGCTTGGCTCAGCTTGGCCTCAATGTTCTTTTTGGCAGAGTGTTCAGATCAAGCTTTGCAGAATCCATGCTGAGGTCTGATTGCCAAGATGTTGCGCGAGGTAGCTCCTGTAACATCTCCTGCATCTTGCCCTACACTGGATCGCACCCTGGCTGGATCAGAAGCTCGCTTGGGGTCGCCAGAAGAGATCCTACCTGCAAACCTTAAATTCGACGATCCTTTTCCAGCTTCTGCCATGCCGCCATGGGCCAGGCCAACCGTGGCAAGCTGCCCGGTGATGAACACCGACGCACTTCAGGGGCTTGAGCTCGTGCTGCCGATGCCTGGCTCAATCGCAAAGAATCACTATCAGCCACCTGATAACCGCCTGGTAGCCACCCGGTAACCCCCCCCCCCCCCCACCCTCCACTCCCCCTTCATGGCACGACTTGCTGCACTTCTGGGGGCTGCTGCTGCCACATCCATCAAGATACTTAAAGCAAAGGTGAAATCCAGAAGTTGGTCAAATGACACCCAACCTTCGAAACCCAACCGAAGAGCAAGCTCCCGTCATGCCTTGCATGCTCAGCATATTGCCAGCATTTCTCGAAGCTGCTTTCCCATTCAATCCAGGGCCTGCAGCTTCGCGGTGTGCCCTGATCCAGCCGTGCTTCCGCTCGGCCCCTTGGTAGAACTGGGCCAGCTGCTGGGGCCCTGCCATGAGTATTTTTGGGCCAGCCGCTCCATTGCATCGCCTTGTTGGTGGTATCCGAATACGTTGAGGGAATGCAGGCCCGAGATATGCATCATGCAGCTGCCCGCGAATCGAAGTTCCCGCATCACATCCGAGGCTTTGTGCGCCACGAGAATCTCGCCTCAAAATTTGAAGCTGACATGGGACAGCTCTGTCCTGCGTTGTGTGCATTGTATCTTCCCCTACAGCAAGAACGGCTCTTGAGAGCAGCTTTCCATTGTTTCCTTGAATGTGGCACATCTTTCGAGAGGTATGTCAGGTATGTCAGAACATGTCAGAACTTTGGGGGCAGTCACTCACGGACAGTCTCCAGAACCTACAGAAGCTGATGTTCCTTCCACAGGAACGGCACCTATGGCTGTGACCGAGACTACATAGGCGCGGCCAGCCTGTCACTGTTGTAGTCATTTGTCATGTGCGTTTCTTCTTGATTTGGAGGTACCGTTGACCGCCGTTGCACAAAGCTCCCCTACTCGGGCACAGCCTTGGGCAATGCTGCAGAAGGTCCTTGCGCCCAGAAACTAAGAGTGTGATGCAGCCAGCCTGCCATGAATGAGAAATGATTACATCGTGAACTCAGACGTTGCAGAAGCTGCGCCTCAAGTTTTGAGCACGGCAGCATGCCACGGAAAGTCGCCAGTGACTTTTGGCATGTGAGGTCCGGCCTGTTTCGCTGAAGCAGCATTCTCCGGATGCAAGGTGCGCTCAGAGCGTAGTCCTGCTTGTTCAGTGAGAGCTTCCGCCGGAATGAGAGAAAGCGAGAGAGAGGTCTCTCCGCCCTTCGGGGCGGTTCCTTCGCGGACCAAGTGCGCAGGAAGGAAAGGAAGGAAGGACTGAAAGAAGGAAAGAAGGAAAGAAGGAAAGAAGGAAAGAAGGAAAGAAGGAAAGAAGGAAAGAAGGAAAGAAGGAAAGAAGGAAAGAAGGAAAGAAGGAAGGAAGGAAGGAAGGAAGGAAGGAAGGAAGGAAGAGACCTCCTTCAAAGAAAGAAAGAGAGAGCCATCCAAACTCCCAAACCTCACGTCTTACACACCAGATGGCGCTCCCACACGTCGAGACACTGGTCAAGGATCTTCCAGTTTGTGTGTAGTTGCCTGGGAGGAAGGGCATGAGAATACACAGTCCCATACACTCCCCCACATCCTAGTTGTGATTGGCAAAGCTCCAGCTACGGTGGAATCGTTATGTTCACACCCACTGGACCGGTAACGAGCCCCCTCCGGGCGCACGGGAAGGAAGGAAGAGAGCAGCTGTCCACGGTGGACGTACGCCTTCGGGCGGCCCCTTTCGGGGCTAAGTGAGCAAGAAGGAAGAGCTATGGATAGTTGTACCCGATATCCTGCCGTCTAGCAGCAAAGGGCCAGTAGCGTGTTGGGGTGCTCGGCTAGTGGGGACCACTTCTGCGACACAATCCCAGGGAGACGCTGTAGAGGGTTTTCGTCCAAGCCCCTACGAAAAAGAAACAGAGACAGAGAAAGAGATGAGAGCTGGAAGTACTGTACAGACAGCTGACGAGACACCCGACCGGTTTGTGTTGTTTAGGCTAGTGGTTGGGGGGCTGCCGAAGGGTGGACGGTCTGAATTAGGGGGCGCTGATCCAGCCAGATAGGAGTGCGCGTTTTTGCCGCGTGCCCGTTGAAGGCACTCGAGAGGGGGAGTCAGGGGTCATGTCGATACCCCTCTCGAGTGCCTCAGTTCCACTGACTGGCGCACCGGGGGAGGGAGAGAGGGAGAGCAGGGAGAGCAGGGAGAGAGCAGGGAGAGCAGGGATTGTAGAGACAGGGTCATGATGTTGTCTCCGCAGAGGTGGTTGCTGAAATCGTGCCCTGCCAACCTCCGGTTGTTGACCCATGTCCGGATCCCAGCGGCCGGAAGAGCATTTGTTTTTGGTGCATCGGTGCCACAAGAGGCTAGGAGTAAGTGACGAAGTCGTGCCCTGCACTGTGAGGTCTCCACAACGCTTCTTCGTGCACTGGGGGCGCCCTTGCTCCAGGCGGAAGCTGCGAGATTGGATGTCTGCTGCCTTTCTACACAGGTGACCTCGCTAAATGGCACCTTTCAGGCGTCTTGATTTTGAGGCTCGTTAGAGGCTCTGCAAGTAAGCAATCGGTGGGAGGGCTTCGGGGCAAGGGGGCAAATGCACTTCTGCCAACTCATTCCGAGTTTGATCTCCACTAGAAGGTCGGGCAAGGGGCATGCTCTTGATCCGCTACATGAATCGCAAGTAGGCCCAAAGTAGGCCTTGTATGGCCTTGTGCCGTGAGTTCTGCATGCCGAGTTGCGTGTAATTCAGACAGAAGCTTTCATTGGGTCTGCATGTCCAACTCCTTGACCAATCTTGGGCAGTGCAGCTAGCCATTTTCCCCGGAAGGTTTCGTGCACTTTTTTGTTTGTGTCTGCTGCTGCAGCGAGCTGTTGGGCACACTTGGCACAGCAGCCTTGAGTCGGTTCAGGGAACGCCAATCCGAAACAGAACTACCCGTGGCGTTGTTGTCCTGAGCAGTTCGGTCATGTGCACACGTCAGTTGGGCATGGTTCTCTTTGAGCTAGTGGCATAGTGACTGCTGTCTGCGAAGTGAGGTAATCCTGTTCCGGCTTCTTGCCCACTGGACAACATCAATACCACGGGAGGCCTGTGGAGCTGCCAGCGACTCCGAATACTTATCGAATACTTAGAATTTAGAAAACTTACGGTAACATACGATAGATGCTTCCAGCTTCATCGGACTGCAAGTGGACGCATGTTTTGCTTCTGGCGTTCGTTCTTCGGACGCTCGTCATTCCTGGTTCTCCTCCTAGTCAACAATATCACAGCATCGGCCAGGATTGGTCTGGACTCCGCCGGTGTGTAGTCTGCACCCCAGGGGCAACGCGAAGACCCGTGCTAAGGCCCAAAACATAGGCATGGTGGCTGGAAATGAATGGAGCTGTCGAGAATGGATCTCTTCTTGCTTAAGGTCTGTGGTGCCCAGAGCCCACGCTGGAGGAGGAGCCGGCATATGGACGAAATCCTGAAGGACCTAGCAGATACCTAAACGGAAGGCAATCCTTGTTTTTACCCGCCAAGCACACATTGAGCTACTTCAGCAAGCGCGAGGAGGCAGCAGCCAAGACAGCAGCGGGTGGGTTTGCAACCCCGGCTATGCGGGCACCGCGCAGGCCGCAACGGAAACCTGATACGAGCTTGTAGGGGTGTATCATGGTGCTATATTCGCATTGTCGCGTAGATGTGTCATGGCTTCTACTGCAACAGATTCGCGTTTCGCGTGCCAGGTCTCTTGTGCATTACTTCCTCCCAGCAGGGCAGCACCTGCATGTTTTTAAGAACTTCGCCTGGGATTGGCAGCGATGCTGTGATGTGAGTTGACGAATGCGGATGCTAGGGGCAGCAGTGCGGTGTGGCAAGGCCAGAATGGGAATGCCAGTTAGCAGTTAGCTGCATGGTTTGGCTGTTCGTGCAATGCAGCTCCGTTGGCACATCTCTGCCCATCACACGCATTGTAGAGCAGCAGGAGCGGCACTCTAGAAGCTTTTTGATAATTCTGGGGAGTTTCAACGGAAAGGCTCATGATGTCTGGCTGCAGCCGACTCGAGCCCTGCGTGCCGCTGCAAGCGTACGGCATGGATTTTCAGGCGGGCTTCTCCGACATGTCCTATGCACGTCGTATGTCCTAGCAAGTGTGATCGCAGGCTTGTGCAACCAGTGCTCCCACTCAGGTGCGCCTTCCGGCATTGCCTCCTGCCCGCGGAGAGTGGCAGCTGGAATCTGGAGAAGGTTGGCTGCCTGCAACTTTGCATCCCAGACTTCGTTGCCGAGACATCAGAAGACGTTCAGATTGAATGCGAGGCTTCGAAATCGATGCTTCGGGATGTGCGGCATTGGGCCCTGGACAGGCGAGGTGGCAGTCGCAAGTGAACTGCAACAAAGGACACTCAACAACGCAACGGAAGCCTTCCGCTTCACAATGCTTCACAGCTCAGCCGCGAAGCCACTTGAACACGCCTCGGCCATGACACAGGTCCCTGTTGAAGATGACTGCACTCCGTGCGCAAAAATAGACTGTCAGTGGATAGATGATAGGCTGTCCTTGCCGCCAAAAGACACGTGGGGCCGTCTCGTTCCGTCTGCTGTCGTCAGGCATGTCTCATTGGCTGCCGACCTCCATTTGTGGGAGAGGTGGTGGAAGCAGTCTGCCCAGTGGGGAACACCGCGCCATGGCACAAGCGCGCACAAGTAAACTTTGCCTTTTTGCGCCCGCCTGGACTCTTGGAATTGTCTTGCGCTGTCGCAGTATAGCCCTGGAAACGCCAAGGATCGCTTCCAAGCACCCATTCCCCACAAGACGCCGTTGCTTGGCCTGAATCTAGTGTTAATCTTGCCAAGGCTGTCAAGACAATGCTTTTTGTGTGGTGCAGGAGCATGATCAAAGCCCTGCAAGCCCCAAGCCGCGAAGGCTTTGCGAGCTTCGCTGTCCTGACCCGCAGATGGTGCCACCGGGTTACCGGCTCATCAAGACACAGGCTTGGGGTTCCAGGCTGTAGCTTAGTTCTGGTCCACCCAAGAGCACATGCTGTTTTTGGCTCAGTTAGCTCTGGAGCGCTTTGATGTTAGGTTATGCTTGCCCCTTTCCTGCTAAAGCAATTCAGCATCAGCGTCGTGGTAAGGTAGTGTAGCTTTGCCTTTGCGAGTACGGAAATCCCCTTCTCGTTGGACATGCCGACCCTGCCTGTCTGAGATGTCCTGGAAATCCAGGGTTCTCTACACTACACTACACTACACTACACTACACTACACTACACTACACTACACTACACTACACGTGTTTAAGAAGAGCATGTCCGTTTCTAAGCAGGGCCGGCCGCCCATTGCTGGCACGGCGGGCGAGGGTGGCGAATGGCAATGCACTCCTGACTTCACGGGCCTGCCTCTGAAGCAACTCGGCAAGAAGGAAAGAAGTCGAAGTTCGGGTACTTCTTCGTTGGATGCCTTCTTGGGTGCTTGGGGACCCTCAGAAGGAGGCCATGTGGGGGCCTGGTAGGGTTCTTGCACTTCGACAGTGACTTTGGTGGAGAAGACACTATTTGGAGGCACTGCAATGCGACTGCCGGATGCAACGAAACAGATGCCGAGCAGCTGGATGAATCAGGACGACGGTTCATCGGGACACATGTACCGTCTCAACACTGTCTCTCACGTATCATGCGCTGGTGCCTCCTTCGTGCCTAAACTCCTTAACCGAACCGCAAGCCTGAAGTCCGCAAACGCATGACCCCAAGGAAGCTGGAAGGTCGTGTAATGGTTTGAATCGGAGCAACCCTCCCCCACCCACCCACCCTGGAAGCGCAGAAGTTGCGCTGACTGCTTCAGACCCTTTCACGGACCCTGCATCGTTTCGGGCCGGAGGTTTTTCAGCAAGCAGGATGGCCGGGCCCCCATGAACATAAAACTCGTTGGGCAGGAGGCTGTGCCAACTCGGTGGAGCTCTCGATAGAACTCACTGGATGCGTGAAGCGAGAGCCGTGCCAAGCCCCCACCTTGGAGCCTTGGCTGACGCATGTGACTCATGATCTTCCCTCTCGTGCCATCTTGCGCGCTGGTGTTTTTGGCCGAAAGAGGATTCAAAGAGCTGCTGTCGGTTGTGAGTATCAAGCTTTCCGAGGACTCGTGCCGCTTGGAGAGCTTTGAATGCCCAGCTGGTCTGCTGGACCCTGGTTCGTCATGCACAGTGCAATGTGCCTCGACGACATGACGTTCCGGCGTCGCGTTCAACCTTCTTCCTACCACTCCTGTGCCAAATTTCCTTCTCATGCACGTGCTCGGTCCAAGTGGCAAGTGCTGAGTCACGGTTGTCATGCCACGAAGCTCGTGCCTCTGAGGTCGCTTCCCGTTTGTTGGGGAGGCAACAGCGGCACACTGCCCGCACGAGAATGTCGTTTTTGGGCACGGCACCTCGGCACGACAACCTCCCCCTGACTCCCCTGAATCACTGAAGTCGGGGATCGCCAAGTCACCCTTGACTTGGGCTAGTTGCCCAAACTGGTGTAACATGAGGAACATATAGTAACAGGAGAAGCCAAATGAAATTGCTAGAAAAAGCATCTCAAGATATACAAGCCCAGGCTTGATCTGGACACCGCCGGACTGCACGCTGCCCGAATGCTACGACCCAGTTCCGGAAGGTGCGCCGAACCACGATCTTGTGTGTTCGTTCACGAAACTCCCCAGACATCTTGCCATGGTGCTAGCACGATGAGCTTGTCACCCTTTCTGTTGTCAGGCTACCAATACGGCAAGAATGGATGGGAGTGTGCTGAAGGCAACCTTTCTGCAAACAGGATGCAGCCCTCGGCATGCTTGAGACGCAAGACTGCGACGATCAGCAGGCTGTCGGAGCCGCCGAGTTGCATGCTGCGTCTAAGGTTACTTTGGCTTGGCAGTACGCAGCTGCACATCAGATGTCAATTGCGAGCGCGAAGTGGCTCTCTCAGGCGATGCATGGTTGGATTTTTTTTTGGAACCGGGCTTCAGACTCAGTTTTGTGGAGCTCTCTTGAAATCTGTGGAGGCTGCACCAAGCTGCAGCCCTGCAGCTTGCCGAGCAGCCGCGATCGCTGCCGATACGACGCTCGGTGTTAGGGCCTGGGGGGCCTGGGGTGGGCTGATGTACTCGTAGGTCTTTGAAAGGTTTGGAGGTGGTTTGGATGTTGCAAGCTGTGTTGCTGTGTTGGCCTTTTCTGAGATTCTGAAGGCACTTAAAGGACCTAAAGGAAGATACAAACTACAACTGGTTGCTGTCCTCCAGGGCTCTCTGGGCAATTTCTACTTACATCATCGAGCCTCTCACAAAAAAGGATCCCCTCTCCCCCGAGAAAAAGCACACGAATCTAAGACAGTCCCAAGTCGAGGATTTCACTTCGTGCCTCGCGGCTTTGGACGGACAGAGCTGCGAAGTTCGCTGCTTGGAGCCCTGGCAAACGATACTGCTAGTATTTGCTAGCGATATGTTACAAAGCAGCTCGAGATGGTTTTGGGCGTTTCTGCGATGAGCCACCTCGTTCAGAGGGGGTTGAAGGGAACCCTAATTTAGAACATAGCTCCAGCTACCATGGGTAGCCTCCCTCCCGGTCTGTGTTGAGCTCTGGAAGTTCCTACGCCAAACGTTCTGCATTCAGCTGTGCTTTGTTTTTGCTCTCAAGGGTGCAATGCTTGAAGCGCGACCCAAAAAGCTTAGGAACCCTTCTACACCAGTCGCTCTGGTCAAGCTGGCCTTGCACTATGTCCTGCAGGACACAGACGTGGGGGCAGCTAAATCCTAGCAGCAGTGTCTGGCACACCCTCAACTTCTACGTACCAACTCAATCCCGAATCCAATGACTCACAAATTTCTGTTCTCTAAGCTTTGTCCATTTTGCACTAGCAAATCTGGGCGCAAGCTACCCGGTATGGGGGTGCTCCGGACCCCCGAGAGTTGGTTCTAGGAGAGGTGACGTTTGACTCGATCCGATGGCACAATGGCACAGTGTCGACGGGAGAGTCGGGAAAGAGCCTGACAAGCGATCTGCCGGTACCCTCCATGTCCCAAGTAAAACAGGCTCCTCAAACGGTGTCAAAATCATGCAGTTATAAGCGAAGCGAAGCCATCCCAGCGCTGCCGGGAGAGCTGCCGAGCTGCCCTGCAGGAAACGTTGACCCGGAGCTGGAGCTGCAAGTCTTGCCTCCTCGGCTGTGCTTGTTGTGTTGTATTGCTCTAGTGAGCTCTACCGCTATGGCATCCCGATACACACAGTACCACTGTACCGGCCAGGTCGCTCCCAGACTGCGTGCCGGAGTGTGCTGCAGCAGCACCTCCAGGCTACGTCTCTGAGGGTGCTGGGTGGCGATGTGAGGAGGGCTATCTGGGCACTGCAAGCACCAGCTGCACCGTCACAGAGGTTGCTGGTAGCTGCATTGCCGACTTTCAAGCATCGGGGTGCTTGGCTATTCAGCCTTGCATCCCAAAGGCTGCGGAAATCCCTTGCATGTACGACATGGAGGCCTGCAAAGGGCTGAGGGCTGGATCGACTTGCGAAATCACGTGCAAGCATCCATTTCGGGGCAGCTCCACGACGGGCAGTTGTCCTGCCGACAACACAGATCCACTGAGAATGGTAGATGCAGATCTGCCAGACTGCTTCGTCAAGGCTCCTTGTCCGGATCCAGCAGGTGGAATACCAGAGGAATACAGATATACGGGCAACGTACTTGAGCCGGTTGCCTGCTCCGAGGGGTATGCCGGCCCAGCGAGGCGGGAGTGCGTGGCCAAACTGCTTCCAAACAGCACGGACACATGCCTTGTCGAGGGAAATTTCACTGGATGCGTCAATATTGTGCCATGCTTAGCCCCACAGATTGCATCGAATGATTGTGAGCTGAACACTACATGCGGGCCCATGGTCGCTGCTGGGGACAGCTGCGAGACCGCTTGCAACATGCCACTTCAGGGACAGACGACTGTGGCACGGTGCCCGGCAGACAATACTGATCCGAATCGTCCCGCAATGTGGATACGTCCAAGCTGCAGCTGTCCCGACCCGGCCATCATCCCTCCTGGATATGCCCCGGCACTGGGGCAGTGGGAATGCTTGGCCGGATATGTGGGGCAGGCAGCAAAGCTCTGCTTATGTCGAGCTGATGAGCCATTGTTGCGCGGATGCTACTCTCCAGTGATTTGTGGTGCTGCCGGCTTCACCGATTCGGACACTAGAAGAGGCTTTGTTGGAGGAAGGCTGCAGTTTGGGCCCTCGACCCTGGATGGGACGACAGACGAGGATGGCGTCTCCAGCTATCAGGTGTTTTGGGCCGATGACTGTGGGGCACCGCTAAGAGACAGAATGCCAATTCTTACAGTGCCACCGCGCACCGCAGGTGGACCCTCCAATCTTTGGCCCGATGGCTGCTGCAAGACAGATGTATATTCTGTGAACATCCCTGCCATGGAGTTGCCAGCCGAGGCCCGGCAACTGTTGATCCTCGTGCTCACAAGCTCGGGACCGGCGCCCGATGGGTTAGTCATCCCCTTAGAGGACAGCAACTACGAAGATACCGTGACTGTTCCACCCAAAGGTACGGTTGGCAGCGGTGCCAGCCGCAGGTGGGCTTGCACGTGGCTTCTGATGGCATGGCTTGCAGTGCTTGCAGCCATCCATCGCGAATAGGGCGGATAGGGTTCTTTGTCGACCGGGCTTGGGTCGTGAAAATGTCTCAAAGATCCCACAATTCCTTGGCTTTCAATGTGTAGTCGCGCCCGACAAGACCAAGGTGGTCAGCACAGGGCAAAAGTTTGAGAGTTTAAGACAACCTCGAACAGTTTAATAGAACTCAAGCCTCGGTCTCGAAGATTTTCCAGTGGCATGGCTAGCATGGTACATGCTAGTACTAATGCTGCTAGCGGGGGTCACGGCGAGCCATGCACCAGCCATCTCAAAAGTGATGGCTGTTCCATGACATCATGGGGACGCAACATGTGTTGCAGTTTCCAAAGAGACTGCTAGCTTGGTTGTAAACCGACAGGACAAGGGATATGGGGCTTCCAGTCACCAGTCAAGCGCCAGGGCAGTACGGTTTTGGGTTGACGAGTCTAATCAAATATAAAAACCCGCCATGACTCGACCATGAATTCAACATAGGCTTCCGCGAGAAGTAGCACCGGAATTTGTCGTTGACCTGGCTTTCCGAAACGGAAAAGGCCGGGTCTTTGAATTCAGCAGCCGGAAAACATCTGCGTGCTGCTTTCGTGTGAGATTCAATGTTTCCTAGTACCCTCGTAAAGGCTGAGTGCAGCCCCTGCAGACAGTCAACACACCCAAGAAGTTGTTCGGTGGGCTCGAAACCACGATCCCAAGGCCATTCGGTTCCTCCGTCGGCCGTCCTCAGCTTCGGGCCGTCCTTTTTAAGTGGAGGTCAGAACCAGTGGCAAGGGTACGAAAGAACCTCAAGACTTCGGTATTTCGGGATTTTTGCACTACTTCGGGATTCCGAGCCACTCTCCGCACGCTTCTCGGCCCAAGTCGACTCTGCTTTTCGCTCTAAGCCGTTGAAGCCCCTTCAGCGACTCGCCGACACCTCAGCTATGCTTTCACAGCACGGCACAAGCGCAAGACGGAGCATTCTGCAAATGGTCTTGCACGCTGTGCCTGTTTTGCCAAGGTGACACCCCTACGGTCCTGAACCCCATCTTTCAGAGAACGCCAGAATCCCGAAGCAGTGTGGGCAAAAAACTGCGGGGTTCTGTTGCCGTGCGGGGTTAAAGTAAACGCAGACGAAGGTTCAAAAGCGCTTCAGCCAAAAGCGTGATTTCCATCAATGACGACCTCCAGTATCGAATTGGCCGGTGTGGATGAGGAAGTTTCCGTCATCGGCATGATTTGGCCATCGCCTTAGTTGTGACCTTTCTTAATCATGCACATCAACTCCTCCAAGTCCTGACCTCGGTTCCTGATCACATCGCAGCAGGCCGCTGTCATGCCATGTCATGCCACAGGACCATGACAACCTCATCACTTTTCTGTGAGGTCCTGCGTCAACGAAGCCGCCTGGTTTGCAGCCGGCTTCCTTCTCTTTCGATTGGCGCTTCGCTACAACCTGCTCCCTTCAAGCATCGAGCTCTGGACTCCGCAGGCTCTACGAACCAAGGGTAGCCTGGTTGCACACAAAAAGAAACCCCTGCAGCATAGGTTTCCACATTGACATGTGTCCACCCCGAAAGCGCGTGTTTGCAGAACTTTATATTTTTTGGTCTGTTGGTGATTGTTGGTGTCTATGCGACCAACATGAGGCACGAAGGGCGGCAAGTCCCCGAGTGCTTCAAAGCGCTGCCTGGCCACACAAGCGATTTGCGAACGCAGCGAAGCTGGCGATCACCAAGCAGTCCTCGCAAAATGGAACGAGCTGCGCGAGCAGCGAGGAAGGCCGGAGGCCGCCTCCCTGCAGCTTCCGGCTTTGGAAGCTGTGGCCGAGGCCTTGGCCACCCGCGAGCCCAACAAGTTGGCCGATGAGCTCACGCAGTTTCTGTCCTTGCATCCCTTGATGGCTCGCCCCTCGACGACTCATGGCCTCGTGGCATCCATCTTGAAATCGGGGCATCCGGAATTGGCCCAAGCCTTCGTCGAACAGATGGAGGCGGAGAAGATGCAGTCGGCTGTTGGCCCCAAGGTTTATGACATGATCTTGGGTCAGTTTGCCGCCAAGGGCTTCTATGCCAAAGTCACCACGCACCTGGCGCGCCGGGAGCCCGACTCCGAAACTTGGGCATCCGGCTTGAATGCCGCTGTCCGGGGCTTCCTTCAGGGAGGCCACCTGAAACTGGCCATCAAGTGCGCACAGGAGCTGCAGGAGCAAGGCCACCCTGTGAGCCCAGCCTCTGCTGCTGCCATACTCGATGCATCCTGCAGCAAGAAGGACGTGTGCTCTGTGAAAATCCCGGACGCGTGCTACACATGTAAGGCTTGATTGCACTTGACCTATTGAGTTGCAGGAATTTTCGCTCGCGAAGGTGCTGGACATGTTGGAAGGCACCACATGCTTGCAGTAGCTGTCGGCGGTTGCCTTCAGCACTCGTGACAGCAATTGACAGGTGTCAGCCTTCCCATGGAGTCTGCCGCGGCAGTCATGTCAACCTGTTTGAAGATGGATGACACCGTTTCTGCGCCCCTTGTCTGCTACGGAGCCTTCGTCACAGCTTGCGGGCGTTTAGCGCATTCAGCCTTCAATTCGCGGGCCAGTCACCTGTCAGTCCTTGAGGCGGAAGCTGGAAGCCCGTGTGCGAGCGCACGGGCAGGCCGGGAAAACCATCACGAAAGACAGAGTTAACCTCGACTTCACACAGGAGCTTGCTTGGTTTGAGCGCTGGCAACAGCTAATCTTAGTAATCTTAGACTTTCTGGCTAACCACCTTCAACATTTCGAGAGGGCACGGGGCCAATAAGGGACCACGAAGTGACTCAAAAGGGTGCTTGAAGAGGTCAACAGAAAAGGAGTTCAATAGGGTCAGGATCAGGGAAATGGAAGGCCAAATAATAAGAAGGATTCAGGCGAGGAAGCCGCCAAGATAGACAAGGAAGTGAGCAAAGCGCGCGAAAGCCTGATTTCACATCAAGAAAGTGCATCAAAAGCCAGACAACTAGGAAGCTAGGCATAGGAGTCCATGCGACTGGATGCAAAAATGGATCTGGGAAAGCTGAAGAAATCTGTGCTGTATTGAAACTTCCTGCATCATGTTTCTTAGAATCCCTTGAGACGTGCTTACAACAGCTGGCATCTTTTCTGTTGTCGTCCATGGTGTCTCGGTGTTCCTGTCTTATTTTCTGGCATCTGGTTGGATCGGGATTGAACATGAAAGGTTGTCAGCGTTTCAACAAGAATGAGAAGGGATCACGAGAGAGCATAAATATAGGGAGACTGCCTAAGGCATACTTTCAGGGTTTCGCTCATTCAAAAGGGGCATTGGAAAGATTCAGAGAACTTAAATCAAGGGGGCCCAGAGTCCGAAGCAAACCCCTCGAATGGGCCAGCGGCCGCAGTCCGTACAGCTACTTAAGCTACTTGCAATGCGGGACGTTGAGCTGCGCAGGTACCATTCGCAGTGCTGGAACCTCTGCTAAAGCTCGCTGCAAAGCATGATGAGGAGTGACAGCACAGCTGCTATGTGTCATGATGGTTGGTTTCTGTGCTTTAATCTGCTTGGAAGGAATGGGCCCAGCGGCTGATGCAGGCCCCGGGTTCCTTCTTGCCATGCAAGCACGCCTGCAGATGCAGCCGTGCCAGGAGATGCAGGAGAGAAACATGTTCCTCTCAGAGGGCCTCTGTGGTTTGGTGCTTTCTCGATGTGGTGAAGCTCGTCACATTCAGCTTGCGGAGGCACCTGAGCATGAACCGCACGGGTGAACATGTGATATTGCCTGATATTGCTGGCTGTTAGAAGGGGGGGCCGTTGCCATGTTCCCAAGGTGGTACAGCAATACCTCCGCGACCGGAAGATGACCAGCTTGGCCACGTACAAGACCCTCATGAAGGCCACAAATCGTCATCGCATGTCACCATGAGTTTGGTCCAAGGTTTGCGTCCTTAGCTTGAGAGAGAGAGAGAGCGGTCAGCCCAATAGGGGGGGAGACAACATAGGGGTGATGGTCGCATTGTTTGCTTAGTTCGTGTCTTCTTACTTGTTTGGCGGGTGTTTTCTTTTTTTGATTGAAGGCCCAGTAGGCCGATCCCTTGTCATGGCATTGTATTCAGGGAATGAAGCCTGGTTGTGCAGCATGTGTTGTTCTTGTGTTTTTTTGTCTTGAACTGAAGAGTGCCGGAATAACAATGCGCAGCCACATGGGCTGCCCCAACCAAAGCCCATGAAGCGTGGGACCAAACACCAACAGTACCTGGGACTCGCGTGCCCTTCAGGGTGGCCTCCCCTCGGGGGTCCAACAGTGCAGAGAGACAGACAGAGAGATTGAATTCAAGCCCAGAAGAAGAAGAAAGAGAAGAAAAAAGAAGAAGCAGAAGAAGCAGAAGACGAAGAGATTCGCCAACAGGTTTGCACGTTTGTCCCTCCGATCCAGTCCGTTTGTTTTGTGCAGCAACTGAACTGCCAGGATACCACTTGCAGGAGCTCGGGGGGGATGCGAAGCTAAGTAGGGGGTTTCCCCCAGGGAATGGGGGCTGAGAAGGGGTGATACCTGATGTCTCCCCCGGTTTACGGTCCCTTGAGTACCCCAAGTGGGAGCGCACGGACTGCGCGGGGGTTCGTCACCATGAAAGCAAGACAGGACAAGATGCCAAAGTGGCACGGTTTATCAATCGGAATCGTTCGATGGCTCAAAGTGAACATGCGCCGCCACAAGAAAACAGGAACAATTACAAGTCCATCTGAGTTTGAGCAAGAATAGAATGTTCTGTTTGTCGCGAACATGCCAGCAAGGCCTTTTGACTCCTCTCGTTGACGACCTGGATGTCCCTAGATAGTTTGCGCATGTCGGACTCTCGAGGTCTACGCTACTTGCGACCTCTTGGACCGTGCATGTGATCTGTACGACGACATTCTCGCAGATGGCATCTCACCTGACAGCGCAACGATCTCAGCAGGGCTGTGTGGCGGCTAGCTGCTCTGGGTCTTTCGTGCCCTTTGGACGTGAGTGAACTGCAGGTCATGTACGGTTGCCTGGCCAAGTTTGCCGCGAAGTGCGGCCGTGACAGCTTGTCAGACCGTCTATTCAGTGCAGCATCAGACAAGCCTGAGGCGTCGAGTGCATCAGTCTGCTAATTTGCTATCCTTTTGATTTTGTGCTTGCTTTGCAGGGTGGTGATTCTCAAAACTACATGTGGCTGATCCGGTCAGCAGGACCGCGACACGCGTTCGTGAAGCAGTTATCGAACCGGATCCATGTTGTGAGGTGATGATGATGATGATGATGATGATGATGCTGTTGCCAGCCTACCGAGCAGACATCCAGACACTGTCCAGAAGTGCTAAAGTCTTGCAGGACAGAGGCATGATGTGCAACGTGCGATCAACTTGCTGCGGCAGCTGCAGAATCAGAAGGCACTTTCTGCGAGTGAGCGCCATGTGCTTTTTGCACCTTGAACTTCAAAAGTGGGAGACACAAATCGGCAGCCCTCACACGCATCTTGCCGTTTCAGAGCATGTTCAGGCTGTGACGGTGGATGCTGCCATCTACAACAGTGTCCTTGATGTGTGTATGTCGAACGGAGCAACGCAACAAGCGGAAACCATCTTCCAGGATTCCGGCTGGGTTTCGTCGGCTACCTCTGATTGGATCAGGGCGCCATTTTGCCCATGCATCTTTTCTGGGAGGAGATGCTGCAGAAGAAGCTGGACACCCTGATCACCTACAACACGTGCCGCTCTTGGCATGACCCATTGGCCCATGCCGTGCGGGATTACGTGTGCCAGCCTGCCTCTCGCCTGCCGGAGGCTCATGAAGGGCTATGCCATGAAGGCGGGCAAGCAGCAAGCTCCCTCAGCACTGCTTGGTGCTGCCGCTGAAGCACGTAGCTTCCACAAGCTTCGTTGCTAGGGTGATCTGTCGCGCGCACGCCGTCTTCTTCAGGACATGCAGGACCGAGCTTCGTGATTTTCAGGGGTGAAGCGGCCGAGGGCATGCCGTACGATGCCACCACATGATGCTGCATACACATCTGTAAATGAAAATAGACATGTGTGTATATGTATATATATGGTACCCCCCCCCAAAACCCACGCTTCCATATGCTCTTCCCTGAAGTCCGACAGATCGGCCTCCCGGTTTGGTCATGGTAGCGTTTTATTAATTCATTAGATATTTTACTCAGTTTCATTAATTTTGCCTAATGTAATTGATTTAGTGGCTTAAATTAACTTCGTTGATTCCAAGAAGCTTAATTCACATAGTTAGGTCCACTCAGCAAGTGCTCGAGCGAGTGCTCAAACAGAAGTGACCTGAAAAAATTGATCGAGAGATCGTGGATTGCTATGAATATAAATAAGACTGCTGTTAGTTTTACTTGGGTTCGTATTATATTTAATAGGATTCATAGGGTTCGTATGAATTCAATAGGAATCCTATTTAAATCAATACGTACAATTAATAGGAATCTGGGTTAAATGTGTAGAAGCTTATTAAATTAATAGGACTCCTATTAAAATATCTTGGAGTCTCAAATTCAGAGGATTCATCCCATTGAAATGAATAGGAACCCTTTTGAATTCACAGGAGTGCTGTTAAAACCTATACAGAAGTAACGTGGGCCCTTTAAAACAAAAAGAGTCGCACTGATAAAATTGCAATGAACCCTATTAAAATGAAAATTATTAAGAATTACAATAGAAATACTTCGAGGCCAATTGAAATGAATAGGGAACAATATTCAAAAAATAGTAGGAGCACTCTTGAATCTAGTAGGGATCCTATGAAAATTATTAGGGATCCATTCACATGAATGAGAAACCCTGTTAAAACGAATACGAAGCCTATTCAAATTAATCAGGAACCTATGTAAATGAGTAGGAAGCTTGTCGAAGCAAAAAGAGTCCAATTAACAAGTGTACGAAATCTTGTTAAATTGAATAAGAAGCCTACTAACATCATAGGGATGTGTCTAACATTTGTTATGAAGCTTATTAAAATTCTTAAACTTTCTATTCAAATTACTAGATTAAATAAGAAAGCTACTAAGAATCCTTTTAACACTACTTGGAATCTGATTAAAATGAATAGGAATCAATATCAAATCGAACAAATTAATAGGCACCCTTTAATAGGCATCCTTTAGAATTTAATACGAACCCCATCTACAGGAATCCTATTCAAAAACAATTTGAATGCTAGTAAAATTACCCGGAACCCTTTTAATTTCATAACAACCCCCACTAGAGTGAACTGGAGTATTGGTAAATGTAATGGGAAACTTAATGAGTAAGATTCACAAGACTCATATTTTCCGTCTCTAATTTTAAACTGTCACCTTTTTCTCGAAGAACCCCCATTAAAGCGAACAGGAGTAATATTTAATTTGATAGGAAGCCTAGAAAGTAGTAAGGAACCCTACAAAATTTAATGGGTAAGATTAATAAGACTCTAATTTTCTGTCTCTAATTTCAAGATGTCACTAATGTCACCTTATTCTCGGCTCTCCGAATCTAGAATTCCAGAATTCCAGAATTCCAGAATTCCAGAATTCCAGATTTTTCAGGGGCCCCCAGTTCCAGAATTCCAGATGCTGGAATTCTGGAATTCTGGAATTCTGGAATTCTGGAATTCTGGAATTCTGGAACTGGGGGCTAATAAGAACTCCCATTAAAGTGAACAGGAGTAATATTTAATTTAATAGGAAGCCTAGAAAGTAATAAGGAACCCTACAAAATTTAATGGGTAAGATTAATAAGACTCTAATTTTCTGTCTCTAATTTCAAAATGTCACTAATGTCACCTTATTCTCGGCTTTCGAATCTAGAATTCCAGAATTCCAGAATTCCAGAATTCCAGATTTTTCAGGGGCCCCCAGGTCCAGAATTCCAGATTCTGGAATTCTGGAACTGGGGGCCTCTGAAAAATCTGGAATTCTGGAATTCTGGAACTAGGGGTCTCAGAAAATCTGGAATTCTGGAATTCTGGAATTCTGGGTCCCTGCGGAGAGGTTTTCAGAGTGTACGATAGGAAAACATAGTAAGACGTGGGTTTTGAGGGGGGGGGGGGTAGCATATATATATATATATATATATACTAGTACACGTGTGTGTGTAGACACACAATGCCGCTCGTGGTTCTGAGGAGGCTGGCCTGAAGCCCAACTCGGCTTCGTTCAATTGCCTGATCAGTGCAGCAGTCACAGGAGGCTCGAGTGGCTTGTGCCACAAGTTGCTCTGCCCACAACCAGCGTACCCAAGCCCCGGCAAACAAGCCACGTGCCTTCTAGCTAGCAGAGCCTGCAGGCGACTACCAACAGGCCTGGTCCATCTTCGAAAGCATGCGGAAGTGTGGCGTCGAGGTGAGGGCGTGTCGAGCTCTGTGCTTCCAATTGCTTCGCGTATCCTGGTATCGGATTCCAGCAGGCTGATAGCTTCACCGTATGCATCCTCATGAAGATCGCACTGGGCCTATCTTTGCGTCACTGTCAGCTTACACGGTGACATGAACCATGACACCTCAAGGTCCGCAAAGCCACGAACCGCCGTGATGCTCAGAGGGCCTTAAGTGTGCTCGATGCCTCGGAGGCCGATGGGATCCTGACACCATTCGGAATGGCTCCTGTGATGAGAATTGCAGGTGGACATTTGCAAGGATGAGGTCCTGCTCAACACCGTTCTTGATGCCTGCATTCACTTGAAGGCCCCATGGGGTACAGAAAGAGCCGCCATGGTTGACGATGCATTTGTGCCGCTTTTGTCGCTCTGCCAGTTGCTGCAAATTGCTGCAAGTGGCTGCAAAATACTGCAAGCGGTCTCAGCCAAGTGGGTGAGGATACGCGGCGACTGGACTGGATCTTGCGTGACTTCGAAGCTGCGACGCTCCTTCCCTCCGTGCAGAACTATGGCCTCATCATCAAGGCTGGAAGCTGTTTACTGTAGTGCCTTTCCGCATCTTTCCGTGCCAGGGCACAACTTGGGCAATCGTCACATGCTCTCCAGGCCTACGCCTGCCTTAGGCAGACAAGGAAGTGCTGGTCTGTCTGGCACGAGATGACGGACAAGAGCCAGCGAGGCTCGTGCTACCCTGAATCGGGACATTTTCGGTGTAACTTGTGGCCATTGATTTCTTTGTCAGTGGCGTAATGCATTACACAGGCTCAGGCTCCAACAATGAGCAACCACTTGATTCGGGACAGCTGCCTGCACTCTTTCTCCCACTCTCGCTCTGACTCGCTCTCTCGCTCTTTTTCTCTCGGTCGGGGTGTGGCCTTTTGAATGTTGCTAGAGCAGGTCTGGTGCCGTCGGATGTGGCGTTAAGCTGCATGCTGGACAGCATTGTTAGCGCGGGCCAGGCCAGAGCGCATCGTGCATAACGTACAGCATACTTGGAGGTTCATGGTACTTGTTCACCATGTATAACTGTACTTGTAACCCACTTATAAGCCGATTAAGTGCCCTAATGTGGTTATAGTACAGTTAACGGTGCAGTTATAATTCATCAATAAGTACCATGAACCTCCAAGTAACCTTGTTGCTTCTTGTCCCGCATCCTCAGAAGAGAGAGGAAGGGAGAAAAGAGAGAAGGAAAGAACGCTGCGGCAACAGGAGACGCTGCGGTGGGGCGCACGACGTGTGCGGAGGGGTAAGGACGGAACGCCAGACCGGACGCGGGCACTGCAGTTCAAGGGCGCGCGGATGTATGGGGGATCCGTCACCCAAGCCCTCTGAGAAGAAGACGAAGAGAGAAAGCCAGCCTGTGCTTTTCCATCTTGGCCTAACGCCTGGTTGAGTGTGTGAATGCCTTCAGGTGGAAGATGCTGTTGCGCTCTTTGAGCAGTGGCGCACCGTCGTCCCTCCCAATACGATCATTTATTCCAACCTCATCAAAGGCCATCCGCAACATCCTTCAAGTTTCGTCGTCGCGACTTAGAATTTAGAATAGAATATAATCGTATTTTTATATATTATATATGTATCCATTATATATATATATATATTTGTTGATCGTATCTACGACTCCCTTAGACACGTTCCGTGGCCTCACACATGTGTAATCATACAGTGATCGATAGTGATCGTCTCACGTTGGCAGGCTTCGCCGCGCAGGGGGATGCTGACCGGGCACTGGACATGCAGCACGAAAGCATTGGAGGTAATATTGAGTAGCCTTCTTCACATAATGTGTTCGGTCTGTTGCTGTGCTGGCAACGTAGGTACCGCCAACTGCGGGCAGAAGGTCTCAAAATGAATCTCGTGGCGTATTCCACGCTGATTGATGCGCAGGTGGGCTCCATGTCATTCTCCGGATTGAGCTGTAGTACTGCGATTCCCTTCTCCCCCAATAGCAGGCACTCGCCACGCCCGAGAGACCTTGCGTGTAGACTGAGGGAGGGAACGGGATGCATCACTGAAGACTGCAGGCTCGGGCTGGGAAGATCGACAGGGCGCACTCTCTTCTGCAAGAGATGAAGGAGGTGCAAGGGAAGAAAACCGTTCAAGCATTGCCCACGACGAGTTGAAGAATCAAGCCATGCGAGTGATGACTCCATTATGCCCACTTCAAGAGGGCAGTGCTGCAGGATGGCGTTGAGCCCAACACCATTACATACTCATCCTTGGTGAGCCCTCGCTGCAAGTAAGTCCAGAGCGCTTGCTGATGAGCTGCTTGCTTCGATTTGCGGATCTCTGTCGAATGTTCACATCTGCCTTTTTTGCCAAAAGACCAAGCACTTCAGGAAGGGGCACTGCAAGGAAGGTGACCTGGACGGTGCCCTCAAGGTATTTGAACAAATGGTTGCCAGCGGAGTTCTGCCTGACACGGTCATGCCCCTTGGACCCCCACATACAAAGAGTACTCCGTGCCTGCCGAAAGACTGTTCAACAAAAAACATGTCAGCGAACTAAATGATTGCTGTCTCGTGCCACACTACTAAGGTACAACACATTGCTTGATGGCGCTGTTCGGGCCTGCCGCTTCAGCTTGTGCGATCAGCCCTTCGGATGGAGAGAAAGAACTTCGCGACACATTGCCGGTCAGGCCCCTTCAGCCTTGATGATCTTGATGTCCCGAGGCTCTTGAAGGAGATGTCACAGTCTGGTGCGGAGCCCTCCAATTTCACCCTGTCTATCGTGGTGAAGACCCTTGGAGTCGTTGTGTTGCAGTACTAGGGCCAACAAAAGTGCCGTCACTCCGATTCCTGTCACCCATGAAGATGTCACGGTCTCGAGCTCTTGACGTCAGCCGAGGATGTGGGGAAAGCGCAAGAAGCTGGACAAGGCATTCGAAGTCGTGCGATCGCACGCAGAGGCAGGGTTTGGCACGTTGGAGACTCCGCTGACGCATTCGGACTGAAGAAGTCAACGAGTTTTGCCGCAGGCACGCACCCTCCAGCTTGACTCCAAGCTATGCACATGCAAGTTCCTCAGGGTCATCCAGGGCCATCTTACTCGTGTCCATTGCTAGTCATTGGTGACGACAAGTAGAGGCATGAGGCAAGTCAGCGATGCTGTTCCCAGGTCTCATGAGCGCGTGCTTCCACAACGGAGCACCACAACGAGCCCTCTCAGCACTTGAGGAGATGAAGACCTGGCCCAACTGCGACGGCCCCTTGACTGAACCTGTTGTGAACCCAGCGTAGCTTGATGCTTCTCGATTTGCTGCTTGCAAGGCCCGGACTCCGGAACTTACGAGCAACTCATCGAGCAGCTTGTGAAGGCCTCCTGGAAGAGTTGAGCCCGTGCTTACGCTAATTTGCGTCTGTTGAGTCTGTGTTTATATGTTGTTTATCGATGTCTGTTGCCGCTTTTTTCCTGGGAACGCCCCGCCGGTCGGTGGCCACAACACAGGAACTGCATGGTACCCGCACCTTAGACAGCCACCAGTCAGAATGCCAACAGGGCTTGCAAATCATGAGAATGAATACGAAACATGTCTCGCATGTGCAACCCCTTGCCCTGCCAGTCCGGACCTCCCTAATTATCATGCAGGGAGATCCCTTGCAGCGCAGTGGTCGTTTTTGGTTGGATGTTCAAGTTTGGTGGGGAGAGAGGAAGAGGTCCTCTTCGCTGGATAGAAAGGGGAGAGAGAGAGAGAGAGACTGAGAGAGACACAGAGAGAGAGGTAGGGGGAGACAGAGAGAGAGAGAGAGAGAGTCTTTCTCAGTCGCGCGGATGAAAGAAAGAAAGAAAGAGAGAAAGACAGAGGCAGAGAGAGAGAGAGAGAGACAGAGACAGAGACAGAGACAGGGACAGGGACAGGGACAGGGACAGGGACAGGGATAGGGATAGGGCTAGGGGCAGGGACAGGGACAGGGACTGGGACAGGGACAGGGACAGCGAGAGAGAGAGAGAGAGAGAGAGAGTGAGCGAGAGAGCCCGGCAAAAGAAGAAGAAGAAGAAGAAGAAGAAGAAGAAGAAGAAGAAGAAGAAGAAGAAGAAGAAGAAGAAGAAGAAGAAGAAGACGAAGAAGAAGAAGAAGGAGAAGAAGAAGAAGAATAATAATAATAAGAATAAGAATAAGAATAAGAAGAAAGAAGCAGAATAATAAGAAGAGCAAGAAGAAGAATAAGAAGAAGAAGAAGAAAAAGAAGAAGAAGAATGATAAGAAGAAGAGAGAGCGAGAGACAGAAAGAGACAGCGAGAGAGAAAATTAGTTACAGTTTCTTTCAACCCAAAAACAAGGCCGTGGACAGCAACTAAGGGGTGGGACCCACTGCTTCAAACCAGAAAACAAATCAGGGGGCAGCAGAGGAGAGGGAAGTTGGTGCAGGTACGGTTCTTTACGTGTTCACGGCGTTGTCTTGGAACCACCCTCAAGTCCTACCCCACCCCCACGAAAACCGTGGGGGGAACAACAGACGGACCTTCGGACTTTGCGCGCCCTCCGGGGCGGCCTCTTCCGTCGAGGGGGGGGGGGCCAAGAGTGCAGAGAGAGAGAGAGAGAACCCAGCAAGGTTCACCCCGAGACCCACTCGTTTGCGCCCATCTCGGCAGCGCCTTCGGGTTATGCAGGAAGGAAGGAAGGAATTCCAGAACCCGAAGCCAGAGGCAGTAACTTGCGGGGGAGGGTTGCTTGGGAGATTTGTTGGTCCGGAGTTGCGCCCCGTTTTGCTGTTGGGCTGGTCGGACTACAAGGGTTGCAGCCAGGGTTGACAAACTATAGGCTAGGCGTCTGGAGCAGCTGGCAAAGATATGAAGCGTGCAGCTGTAACGAGCGCTGGGCACGCTGGGAACAAATCAATTCCGAAACTGATGCGTTGTGATGAAATATTATAATGAATACCATTCGATTGATTGTCCACTTCAATTACATTCACTTGTGATTCTTCTGTATTCTTATTATCATCGTGTTGCTCCATATATTCTAATTTATCATCATCGCGAACTCCGATGAAAAAGAGCCAGCCCAGTCACAAACATTGATGCTCTGAGTGCACCGGGCAGGCCAATGTAGGGATGTGCCAACCAGGACATCAATCAGTGCGTCCGAAACATGGCATCACGCAGCATCCGAGTAATCCCTCAGATGCAAGCAAGACTGGTTCTTTGCTTGTGCTGATTGATCAGCATGTTGTGGTCTACAGTTCCTACCGTCACCTGCCTCAGAATCTGGCCTTTTGCTGAGCACCATCGATAAGCTCAACCTTGAGGGGTTCTCTAAGTCTGTGGTTGCTTTTGGCCCCCGGGGCTGAAGCTGGTCTGCCTGGCCTTCACTGTGTGATCATGTTGCAGAGCTCTGAGAGTCAACGCGTCGAGACAGGGACAGACTCCTTACCGATCCACACAACACAGCTTGCCCAGTCATGACAGCAAGGCGGCATTGAGCGGTGTGCTGCTGGCTCAGGCGCGGCTTGTCCAGGAGGCTGCTGCGGTTGCAAAGGAAGCAGTGGAGCTGGCATGCAGCCCACGCGCGAGCATCAAGCCGTGCCTGCGCCCGCAATCTGTTAGACTCTAGACGTCCTGGGATCCGGGATGCCATTTTTAGTATTGTAGGCCAGAACGACAGACTCGTCTATCTGTGTGGGGAAGCTAAGGCTGAACACTACGGTGTGGCGGCCTCTACTGGATTTCGTGTTTGGTTGTTCCAGCTGCCAACTTGAGCATTCCAAAAGTGGTAACGACGTGGACCAGAGGCTGCGAATTCTGCAGCGGAGCCTTGAGCAGTTCGGTCACGGGAAGCTTTGGAGCTCCATCAAGGACTCGTTCGCAGATGCATCGTGCAGTGAAAGCCGTTCGTTCACGCATGACTGAACTGCTCGAAACTGCTCCTTGCTCTTAATCGGCGGCGGAAGTGGCATTGGTCTCTGTGGTAGTCATCGTCTAGGCACATCTGTGGGACCATCACCTCCAATGCCCCGTCCGGATGGCAAGGGCTGTATGTATCGAAAAGATAGCAATGGGAGAAAAGTCGCAACTTGTGAGACATGCACTGCAGGACCAGCTGCGGAGAGGACGACTGCCGATGCCCTGAGCAGTGGGAAGAACGCCTGTAGCTGCCCGTACTAAGTGCAGCTAACCTGACCTCTAAGAGGTTTGTGTAAATATGCCTGAACGATGGTTGCTTGCACCATCACTGCAGGTGCACCGGTCACTGGCCGAGAAAACCAGCCCTTGAAACCCTCAGCGCTTGCTGTAGCCGATGTTGCTCAATTCTGATTTGGGGTTGCTGTCAGTGCACGTACAAGGCCCCGGCAGCTCTTTCCTGGGTTGGTTAGGGGCTGATGCCACGGGCAAGGCCTCAAGGCGACCACCCAGGCAGCCTCAAAACTAGTCCGAAAATATTTGCGCACCCTTCGACGATTCGAATCGCCGAAAAGCTCCAATCAACGACACGAGACCAAGACGATCGAAAAGGGTGGGCATTGGGTCGGTCGGGTGGCCTTGTACACTCGAACTATATTGTAATCGATTCTGCAGATATCTGCTCACTTGAGCCGTCGCCATGATGCTTACACCCGAGGCCCACAAGCCCTAAACGGTCAACCCAACAATGATTCTTTCATGACCTCGGGCCTTGGATTCATCAAGTACTTCAAACGAAACAGCCGCTACCGTACGGGTTCATCTCATGGGAATGGTGCCTCTGTACGTGCGCGCGCAGGCATCGCGAGCATCATCTGGATCGAGATTTTCCCCCGAAACTCGCGTTCGGCAACGCAAGAAAGCAGTGCATGCCTCCTGCAGACCTCATGCTGCGGAGATCCAGCAAGACTAGGCAGCAAGCCAAAGAGGTAGCAGTGGCGGTGTGATCTGATCAAGGAGAGGAGCAGCAAGCCAAAAGGCAAATAGCAAACACACATGCGTGCCGACGCTGCTTTTCGAGCGTTGGATGAAGCCTGTGTCCATGCCTCCCGCCTCCCCATGCTCACCCTTTGCTCCTGGGCTGGCGAGAGCTTGAAGGAGCAGTTGTACAGCTGCCGCGAAACGGTTTTCGATGTGACAATTTATCAAAGTCCTCCTCTCCATTTTCAGAAAAACCACTCTTCGGAGGCTTAAAGAGGGGTTAGGAAGGGGAGCTAGGTAAGAGGGCGGCTGAAGAGGCGAGGTGCTGATTGTGCTTAAGCGAGCAAGCCATCCATCATGCGTTCCTTTGGCTCATGTGGGTTTCTGGCTGCCGGACGCACTCGCCCGCCCAGCTTTCCCTGGCCGAAGATTCAATTCCGCTATTTTCGTTGCTGGGCATCCAGGGAGCCTTAGAATTCGCCGCCATGTGGCAGGGAACTGCTTGTCAAGCATGGGCCCTTGCAGTCAATTAGCAGACGCAGCTTTCAGGCGTGCAAGCCAACATGTTGGCAAGTACAAAGTTGTTCAAGCTTAGCACATTCCTCATGACATGTTCAATGTTTAACCTTATAACAGAACGCCTCCTACATCATGTGATAGAGGACTACGGTTGACTAAGTTGCATTGAGAACATTAAGAGTTTGTACACCCACAAGCAAAACGCAGCGCCATGCAGAGTGCGGAGGACAGCTTCAGCGCTGGCAGCTTAAAGTCAAGCATAGGGTCCCTTGATACACAGTCCCTTGTGCTGACACTAGCGTTGTCCTTTTGGCTTTCCATGTTATCAAGGCCAGCCAATGTTCCAGTCGCTTGGAGAAATTGGAGGGTAGTGGAGGGTATCTATGCATTCTTTGCCTTTGTGCCAAGTCCTTGGATACAAAGGACAGGATGGCAACGAACGACCACCAAAGCGTGCAAGGCAAGAACACATCGTTGCACGATTTAGTCTGTTATGCACGATTCCCCGCATCTCTCTGCGATTTTGCTTGGGATTTAAGTTGGCTCCGTATGCACACGGGTTAAAGTGTTCTGGCGCAGGCTTGCCGATGCCGTAACTGCTGCCGATGCGGGCAGCGGGGAGTGGGCGCAGGTGTTCACCCGAGAGAGCCGCGTTTCGAAAGACAGTTGACGTGTCAAATGTGAACCCAAAAGCCCCTTCAGTCCCTTAGGCTTTGGACGTGTTTCGGGTTGTCTTCCTCTTGCATGGTCTATTGTGCTATAGTGTGGTCTTTTGAAGCCCATGCCCGCATTCGCTTAGCCTTAAAGTGTGCTTTGTTGTTGCCCATAAATGTGCAAGCCACTCCTTTGCTTGGCCACACTTTGCGCGTGCGCGTGTGTGAGACCTCAGTCGCCAGGGTGCAGCGCATGCATTCCCGGAACAAGCCACGCTGGCGCCGCGTACAGTGTTACTTTACCAGCCAGACTGGCTCGCATGCCAGGGATCTGCATGAATCCTTGTTCACTGAGGTGATTTCGGCGATCCAACCTGCCATCGTTGCACTGAAGGCGCAAAGCTGTCGAACAGTTTTGCTCCAGCGTAGCGATGCGTTACCTTTTGATTCATTACCTTCACCTTTGCCTTCGTCAGGTCACCTTCGTTGTGAGCTTCGAAGATGAGCAAGCAGCGGTGGCTATGGGAACAGGCTTTGTGGTCGACAAGCAGCGGGGCTTGATCCTGACAAACAGGCACATCACTGGTGTCGGGCCGGTGAGGGCAATCGCCATCTTTGATCGTCACGAGGAGCTGGATGCTGAGGTGGTGTACCGTGATCCGGTGCATGACTTTGGCTTCTTTCGCTACGATCCTACAAAGCTGCGCTTCACGGAGCCTGCTGAGATTGGTCTTTCTCCGGACGACCTTCGGGTTGGAACCGAGGTGCGCGTGGTGGGGAACGATGCTGGTGAGAAGCTTCAGATCCTCTCGGGGACCATTGCGCGCGTGGACAGAAATGTCCCGGAGTTCAACACGGTTTACAACGACGAGAACACCTTCTATGCAGGCGCCGGGGCGGGGACGTCGGGCGGCTCCAGTGGGTCACCTGTGTTGAACAAGGAGGGGAATGCTATTGCGCTGAACGCGGCGGGCACCGAAGGTGCAGCGAGCGCGTTTTTCTTGCCCCTCAGCCGGGTGTGCCTCGCCTTGAGGCGGCTACAAGATGGTTTGCCAGTTATGCGTGGCACTTGCCAGGCCGCCTTCCTTTTCAAAGCTTTTGACGAGCTGAGAAGAATAGGACTTCTGGAAGAGCACGAGCGAGCGATACGCCGGCAAGCTGGTGATGCCACTGGAATGCTCGTTGTGGATTCCGTGCTCTGTGAGCAAAGGCAGCTGCGACCAGGCGACATTTTGCTGCGGCTGGAGAACAGGCATTGTATTGATTTTGTCCAGCTGGAAGAAATCCTGGATAACAAGGTTGGGTGCGCCGTGGAAGTGCTTGTGTGTAGAGGCTGGGGGAACACTAAAGTGCTTTTGCCGTGGGACAGGTGGGACAGGCGGGAGATCCGGTGGAGGGCTGTAGGAAGCCGTAGGCGGCAGAGCGGCTGCAAGCAACTCTTATGTTGCTTGGCCCTTGAGGTGGAAAGGAGATAGCGATGTCCATCGATGTGCACGACCTGCACTCATTAATTCCCAGAACTTACGTGGAGCTTGGCCTGGATGTGGTCCACGGCCTTGGACTGAGTTGAGATTGAAGTTGAGATTGAAGTTCCAAAAAAGTTCTCAGCTTCAGCTGACCCAGGCCTTGGTTACCATGCAGCACGGCGTGCGCACCTGCCAACGGCTCCGAATTAGAATCATCTCTTTGCTCGATGTGAATTGATTTGAAGTTTAGGGCGGGGTTCGCTGGGCGGATGTCGCTACAAACAAGCAACAGGAGGGTACTCGAAACCTCGAAGCTGCTCCCTCGCTGCGCCCCAGCACCCGAAGCCCGAAGCCACTAGAGGCCGCTGGACAGCGGGATTTACCTGGCTCGTCCAGGATACGTTTTCGAATCCTTGGGATGCGATTGGGGCTCCCTCATCACTTCTGCACCTGGGCCAAGCTTTGACAGCACAGCTGCCTTTGTTTTGTTTCAGAAAGGGACAAATAAAACAGACATTCTCCATCCTGAAGTTGATTGGCTTTTTGGGAGGCTGTGATTGTTGGGAGGCTGTGAGGGGCCGACGTGGTGCCTATGCAATGCCGAAGTAGTCTGTTGGCTGATGGTGTGTCTGTGTGTGAAATGAACCTGGCCCTTGTACATTTGCTGTCACCGCTACAAAGGTAAATGGAAAGCCCACGCCGTCCCCAGAAGCGTTTGTCAAAGCCATCGAGCACATCCCGGACAAACAGTATTTCCCGGTGCATTGGTATGATCTACGAGACTTTCGTGCCTCTGCTTGAGCTTTTGTGCATGCTCAGAGGCACATCCTATGCGCAGGTATGCGCGGTTGCTGGCAATATCGGGTCTCCTTCGGGGTGTTGGATCCGTGGCCCGATCCCTTTCCTCATCCATGAAGCCCGCAGATGTGTCTTAGAGGAACAGCAGGCACGTCACAAGGTCAGGATAATTTCAAACCTTTGCCACCGACTGACCGCTCTTAATCTCCTCCGCTAGCCGCTAACCATCCTAGTCAACAGTTAAGCCATTTAGCTCTAGACTTCTTCTTCTTCTTGCTCTCCTCATCTTGCATATGATCGCCATCAGCCCTCAGCAAGTTGTTTTAACTAGCTGCAGTAATTTTGTGTAGACGGCAAGCTTGCACCATGGTTACCCTCGAAAGCCAGGCTTCGAGATCTCGCTGGCTCAGTTTCACGGTCATTCCTTGGGCCTGTGCGGAATGAATCGTCCATCAGGCAGAGACCGCGCATTGAAGACGGGCTTCGCCAAAATGTCCCGCGCCTGGTCACCCCTGAAATTGTGGCAATGCGCATCTCCAGCGTCATCGGCGAGCCCCGAGCAGTGGACCTCCCAGGACAGCACTTTTGAAGCCTGACGCTATCGCCAAGCCCGAGCCCCATGATGCTCGTCAGGAGCTGCCTGTGCCCTCCCTGCCACTACGGCGGCCTGAGCCCCCCGGCCGCGCTGCGATCCTGACGGGCGGGGACCGCCTGGTGCGGGCACTGCAGACCTCGCTGGTGGGCCCCTGTGCGATTGTGTGCGCATGCCCTATAGAGAGCTGCTCAGTATTACATTGGCTGTGTCAGGTCACTGTTAGATTCCGCACAGACCAGCGTTTCTGCACGGAGGCTGGCAGCTAACTGTTCCGGACTACCCCAGACCACATGGTTGCAGCAAATGACCATATGTCTACCTTTTCATCGCCACTGCAGGCACTTGAGTGTGCTTCCGCCGAGGGTGTGGGCTTGCTCGCACCAGCCTTAACTGACACCTTGTTACGTTATGTTGCGTTACGCGGTTGAATTGTTCAGTCGTGAGGGTCCCTCAGATTCAAAGGTCTCGGTGGCTTGTCAGGTGGATTTCAAAACGGGTCGTCAATTGTGTCGGGGTGGATTTCGAGCAGCATCTTCAATCTTCAGCTCATTTGTGAAGAGCAACGAGCTCAGCCCCGGAGAGGCTCAAAGAGCAGCCCCCCTTTTGTTGCTTCCTGAGTTGTCGAGGGTTCGGAACAGAGACTGTTGATCCTCTACTGATCCTCTACTAGATGACTAGATCTACTTCCACAGAAGCTACATTGTTACAAGGCAATCTTGAGATGATCGGACTTGGTGGTGGCAAGTACAGGGTTATTTCGAAGGCGTTGAGAGGGCTACGGCGATGGCGGGGGAGCAGAAGGGCACCTTTGCACAGTGAAGCCCAGTGTGGAGGTTCTCTTTGGCTCGGAGCCGGGTGACCTGACGCAGGCAGAGACGCCTGCCATAGCCAAGCAGGCTGAGGACGAGGCGAAGAAGCGCCAAGGTGGCGAGCTTCAATGATCAACCAGCACTCGCCTTCTTCGGCTCCTAGACAACGCGGGGAGGTGGAGGACGCGGAAACCGTCCCCGGTGACCGGAGACCTGCCTAGCGAGCTGCAAAACGCCGCCCGGCACAGGAGGCACCCGCTGCAGCGACGGTCAGCGCCGAGCTGCGCCAGCGTGCAGACGTCCAATTCTCGACAGGCTTGATCCCGAATCCGAATGAGGAGCTACGTACGTGTCTCCACGAATGCATCACTGCCTTCGATTTGTGGCAGAAACCGCTCCCGAGCGAGTTGGCGTCGCTTCCGGAGGATCTTTCTCGATTGTTTTTTTTTTTTTTCGTCTTCCCTTCGTCCTAATAGGAGTCTTGTTCTGTCCGGAACAACGCAGTGTGCGGCCCGCGGGCGCTGTCGGCGCTGTCTCAATCCTCTCTCCGTCGCTCTCCCTCTCTCTCTCTCTCTCTGCGCTCTCACTAGAAGCCCGGCCGTGCCAACGCGTGAAGCCACGTTGCTGTGCTTGATCGATGCGGGGTCTCTTGAATAAAGCTGGCAAAGGCGCTGGCCGTAGCCTGGGATCCAGGCATGTACATCTCCTTGATTGGAAGAGCCAACTCGAAAGAAAAGAAGCCAGAACCTAAATCCCCAACTGAGTCCAGAGAACCAGGCTCCACAACTCAGTCCCGAGACCTTAAGCTCCTCATCAGACTCCGTCCCCAAGCTCAAAGCTCCTCAACAAATCTCCCCAGTTCGGTTTCGAAACCCGAAGCTCCCCAACTCACCCGAAACCCACTCAGTCCCAGGTGGATGCAAAACAGGGCATTGTCCTGACAGACCGGCACAGTGCACCCCAGTCCTTGGGTGCGATTGAGGCGGGATGGGACCGGAACACCCGGAACACTTCTATTTCGAGGAAGAGAGGTCTCAGTTGACAAGTTCCTGTATCAGTCCGCAGGTCACCCTCGCCGGCTGTGTCACGGTAGACGCCGAGGTTTCGAGCTGTTTCGCTGAGTTTTTTCCGCTGCGCCGAGAAGATTCGTTAGGCAGTGTCAGGACACAGCGACATAGCCTTTGCGATGTGAGAACAGGTGTTCTTCATTCACCCGCAGCACAACATCGCCCGGGCCCTATCCAGGCAATCCGCGAGCCAGAAGCACACCTTGAGTGACACCCTGTAGTGTAGCCTAACTCATGGCTCCTGAGGCCTTGCTTCGCTGTGACCCAATAGCGGTTGCAAGTCTCATCAAAGGAAAGCTGCCGTTGAAGTCCGCAAGGCTGGAAGTTTGGGAAGCCGTTTCTTTTTTTCTGCCACTGCCAGCGTGCTTTCCCTTGTTTTCTCCACCCTCGGGGTGGGGTTGTTAGATTTGCATTCAACCATTCGCCCCTCCTCTCCAGTTTCCCGCCCGTGCTCGTTTGTTGACTCGATAGGGCCCCTTCAACTGATGAAATGCTGTGCTTGTTTGTCACGAAAGCTAGCTCCTTGGAGCTCGCGAGAGTTGTCGTTTACAAGAATTCTCTCTAGTGTTCAGCTGGGTCAAGAAGCGACTCCGACCCTTAAGTGGTCTGAAAATCAAAGAGATAAAAGGGCTGTGGAGGGGGGGGGCCCCCCCTCCCCCCCCCTTATAGGATTGACAAAATCAATCTTAAGGTGTCCCCCCCCCCCTCCTTTCAGGGTCGCCTTAATTGATTTCTGGGAGGGGGGGGGCCCCCCCCCCCGGCTTCCCTCTCCGTCTTGGTCAGGCCCTGCGCCTGACTCGAAAAAAGCTTGCTTGTCAGCCGCGTTTCTAGCTTTCGTGGCCCCGATCTCAAGTTGCACTACAGGGACTTGACTATATCACGTGCACAAGGTGCAAGCACACCCTTTTTTCCGCAGGTTTGCCAAAGGAAAGAAGGCCAGTTTGCGCGCTGGCGAGAACGTCCACTTTGTTGGCTTCGACAGCCAGGCAAGCGCAGCATGCGCACACAACAAGTCATGTAAGCAGTGGATCTCCATGAAGTTGACAGGGAAACACGTTCAGCGCGCAATGCAAGGCTGGGTGTTTATTTGCTGTCTGGTGCGGTAGTTCAACACTGTAGGACACGTTGTGTGGGCGTCAAGGTGTCTGCCGTATACCTGCCTAGTGGCAAGGATGAGTTTGGGCCTTGCGAAGCTGACATGACCACATGCTGTCCATTGACATCGCGATATCCTGACAATTGCTTCCAGCATCTTTGCACTGGCAGGTTCCCGCCATGGACTGTACCACGATTTCGAGAACGCAATCTTGAGGCACTTCACGACGTAGTGCAATTGCCACTCTGGGCGTGGTTCAGTTGAGATCCTGTGCATGTTCGCATGTGCATGCTTTCGGAGCCCGACCGACCAGAAATTGTGACTCCTAATTGTGACTCGATGTGGCTCAGATTGGATGACGTAGCATGCATGGAGCCTGCCGATGCTATCCAACACCACTGTGCAAGTTACAGCTCTTCGACAGAAAGGGGACTTAGTCATGCTCCTTTCTGGCTCGTCCTGGTCAGCTCTGCAATCTTGCACAAGCTTTCGTAGACAAAGTATTTGTGCTACAATAATACCATTGAACCCCCAAAATCGGGATTCATGTTGCCCTTACTACTATAATCCCTATGAGGGTATATCAGAATCCCTGTCCCGATTAGGGGGGGTATACTGTAATGCCTATCCGGGGTAAATTATCATCCCTAAGCGGGTATACGAACAAAGAAGAATCCCAGGTGCACTATGCGACCAGTGGAACTGAGATTGCGAGCTTGGAGCTTGAGCCGACTCAAACCGCACAGGAGAGAGACCTAGAGCATGGGGTGGGGCTATATGTAGTTGCATAACATATACATATAGTTTTAACGCTACGCGACCTGCCTCGGCCTGGCCCAATGCAGCTCCCGGAGAGGGGGCCGACGTTGGGGGGGGGGGATTTGCAACACCTCTTGCCTGCAAAAATAACCCCAAGAAAAGGCCCAGATAAAGGGCTCAAGCTATTTGGGGAGGGGCTTCCGCAACTTCGACCCATACAGTGTGGGGGATGTGGGTGGGGGTGGGGGGGGGGGCAGGTGGGTGGGGGTGGGGGTGGGGCGGGTGAGGGGTGGTTGTTGTCAGCTTCCTTTGCGGGAGTCCAGCTGCCCTCTGCTCCCGGCAAACCGTGCGTTTTCAGATCCCGATCGCCTACGGGGGGTACATATATACATACATGCACATTATGTGTGTACGCATACACAATATCAATATATGTATATATACATATATATATATATATGTATCTTGAAAATTATGTACTCACGGAGGTTCAAGATCTCATGGTCAGGGACTCAAGGGCTCGATAAGGTAAACAGAGTTACAGAAGGGCGATAAAGAGTATATGGGGGTATCAGGATTCCAGGATCATTACAGCACATGCCCTTGTCGTCTTTTTGTTGTTTTGTTGTTTTATGCTTAGGGTGCCGTTTAGCAGGGTGGTGTGGAGGGGTTGCTGACAGGGATTTTGCAAGCGCGAACAGTCCATGTTCAACGACTGCCCGTCGCCAGGATATCCAGCAGGAGGTCTTCAGGATTACTGGAGCCCCCGTGTACAGACAACGCCTTCTTTGCGAAAGCGAGGTCTTAGACCCGAAGCGGCGACTGCAGGTTCGTTCATGGGCACGTGCCACATAGACTCAAACATGTGAGTCGACACGCTGATTAAACGCTACTTTTGGCCTGGTCAGGATCTGGGTTTTGCGAAAGAGGTGAACCTGAACCTCATCGTCCAAGATGTGTCACTAGTTGCGACGGTTTCCGTAGATGGTGGCGTGAAGATCTGGAACGCTGAGACTGGGGACTGCACCCAAACCCTTGGTGGTGACCAATCGGGCGTCAGGTGCTCCATGGGTTCCAAAAAAACTCCTTGTCGAAACCAGAGCTACTCTCCCTGACTCTCTCTCTGTCTCTCTTACTCTCCTCTCTCTCTCTCTCTCGCTCGCTTTTGTGAGACTTGGCGGTCGCATGATTCGCATGTTACTCGTTGTGCGACATTGTGGCTTTGCAGGCATGCTGCTTTTTCGGCAGATGGGTGTACTCTCTTGACAGCATCGAGGGATTGCAATGCACGCATCTGGAATATTCTCACCGGAGAGTGTGCCACTTGCCGGCTGTTTTTAGAATGTTTTTCGATCTGCTATTGCACGTCTAGGGGATGAATGGTTCTGCAACCCGCGACGGTTGGGTTGTCATGGCAGATCTCCGCCACATGGCGCATGGCGGACAAATCGGACTTGCAAGAACTGCAGTGGGCTAACTCCGTGACAAGCTGAGACAACTGCGAGGACACTGTGTATTAATTAGCAGCCAGGGGAGGGCTCAGGCATCTGTGCCGGAAGAGAAGGACACCTGTGCCGCAGTGCACACTATGGCACAGAGCGAGGTCTGGCTGTATATCTTTGTTGCTATCCCCTCTGAGAGGCTCTGGGTTTCTGGACCATTGTTAGGCTTAGGTTGTTCAAGCAAGGGCAAACAGGGTAGCCAAGGTAAGCTAAGGGTTCTGCGCGCCCATGGATTTCCACATCTCTGTCGAAGCTACAGGTGGAGATTCTCAAAGGGCACACCAATGCGGTGTACACGGCCATTTTCTCCGACGACGGTTTTTTTGTGCTGACTGCCTCATACGCTTCCTGTCTCAAGACAGCTGTATCATGGCGAATCTGCGTTGGATCCCTGACATGCGCCACGTGCAAGAGTGCATGACCAGAATGCTGCCCTCCAGAAATTCAGGACTGCACAGCTCGTCTCTACAGCGTCCTCACCGGGGAATGCCTGAAGGTGTTTACAGGTCATGGTGATGGAGTGGTGACAGCAATTTTTTCCAGAGACCGCCAGAGCGTCCTCACCGCCTCGGTTGACCGAACTGCGAAGGCAAGGTTTGGCAACTATTTAGATCTTGTTTGTGCAGCCACGTGCCTAGAGGCCTGGCGGATTGAAAAAGGCTGAACTGGCTTCTGGTGCCCAGGTTTGGGACATCGAGACAGCCGAGTGCATGAAAAGCCTGCAGCGGCCACGAGGCAAAGCGTGAATCTTGCGTCGCGGTTGTAGTTCACTTAGATGACGATGCCAAAGTCCACACACCTTGGCAACGTTGGATTCGGACTTCCGCAACTGCCAGGTGAGGTGGTCGTGTCAGTCTTCAGCACCGATCAGCGGAACTTGGCGCTGTCGACGCTGCAAGACGGCACTGCCAAGTGCTGGATGCTTGGCTGGAGTGTTGGGTTTCAGCGCGAGTAGGCGGGACTACTACTCTTCATCTGCTGGGATAGCCGAGGAACCTTTCCACCGATGAGTGCATGTTCAGCTTGAAGGGCCATCGCACCTACATCACCTCAGCAACGCAGCGGACGATTGGAAACTGTTGTGATAGCAGATCGCGTGCTAAGTGTGTGAGGCCGCGCAGTGCCCAGAATGCCAACAGATGCCGAACAGAAATGGACAAACATGGGGAACTGGAGAAGTGTCAGAACTAAGGCAGTCTTGTCCCGAGATGGCTTGACGCTGCTGACGGGGTCGTGGGATCGAACTGCCAAACTATGGAACCTCCAAGCTTCCAAGAAGACAGAACAGGGATTAGCACCATGCATCGCTTCCAGCTGTTCATCCACACTTTCTATAGTCTCTATAGTCAATCTTCAGTTCCTGCGACTGAGATCCGTTAAGACCCTGCAGGAAATGTATTCGTACGTTTACTGGGCATGGTGCCTTGGAGTTTTTGGGAAGAGTTTCGGAAGGTTCTTTTGACAAAGATCACATTCCACTGCAACTTAAAAGTCCACACAGCAACTCAGGCAACGGAGTAGTGTCCGCAGAATTCTCTGCAGACAAGTCGCAGATCATCACGGCGGCCTCCGATGGCACGGCTCGAATATGGGTTGCTAGTGCTGGAGATGCTGGTCCACAGTGCAGAATGCCTTTTTCTTGAAAAAAATGCATTGTGCATGCTTGCGGTGGTCTTGACTGCTTGACTACGCATGACTACGCATGCACCAAGGACTGCCTTCGCACGCTCAAAGGGCATGGTGCCGTCGTGAACCATGCAGTCTTCGCACCCAAGTAGATCGGCATGCTCGCCAGATAAAGCCTGTGCATAGTGACAGAAGACTGTTCTTTAGACTTTGGTACATTGTGGTTCACATGAGTAGTCGGGAGTTTACTGTTGCAAGATGTTGCAAGCACGAGATGCTCGAGACTGCTACAGCACAGACACTCTCCTCTTCGACCGGAGATACCTTGGAAAGGAGGGATTCTGCGCTGGTCTCACCCAACAGCGACGAATGTTGAAAGATCTGGGCTACATGTTTTCGTGGAGCAAGCAGCTTCGATGTTCCTTAGTCCATTTCCCTGCTTTGCGAGACTCTGATGGGATCTTTCCTCTACAGCGACAAGTGGATGGCTGTGTACGGCGTAATCTAGCCGAATCTAGCCAGGTCTATACGTGTGTAGCTGGCAAAAAGACGTGAAGTCTCGCACGGCGGAGTTTCGGGAGCATGTGGTTGAACAACTCTTTACCATCTTCGCTGTCTAGAGTGCGAAAAGTGCACTGCTGAGCAAGATCAGTTTGCAAGTGTTGCGGTTGCTACTGAGCGAGGCATGTGACTGACAAGATGTAATGAAAGTTTTCTGGTCCTTTGCGGTTGCAGATTGCTGTCCTCACGGACACCCCCGAAGATGCTCGAGGCGGCGTTCTGTGCGACTCTCGTCGCAGCCTCATGACCTTCGCGAAGTGGAAGCAGCGTTAGGGGTTGTGGCGAGGTTTTGGTTGGATTGTCCAGTTGCATAAGTGAGCACCGTCCTTTTGAACTGACGATGGCGTGCATTCCGCACGGGTGGAGGGTCTGACCTGCCCCCCGAGCCGCCCCGAGAGGGAGTGAGGGAGGGAGGGAGGGAGGGAGAGAGAGAGAGAGAGAAGACTAGTGGGGTTACGTGCTGTGGAAGGAAGGAAGGAAGAGAGAGAAGAGAGTGGCATGCGAGGTGGGGCAGTGCGGGCACTCTTCGCGTCCTTCGATTTCCAAAGCACACGACGGGAGGCGGAAGGGCAACGCAGCGCACAGCCGATGTTCCACAGCACATGGCTGGTGACAAGAAAGTCTTGAAGTCTTGTATTCCGACTTGCAGAAGAATCTTCTCTTGGAACGCACGTTCATCCCATGTGCATCCGTCCAGGAGACGACTGAGAATTTTGGGATTCCGGCCAACGTCTTCTTGCCGTTGCTTGAGGCAACGGGCCACATTTTGTTTTTTTCCACGGTAACTGTAAGCGCAGTTTATAGACCGCACAGCGCCACGCCTTCCCACAGGGCATCAAGAAGATTCCCGACAAGCAGCCCGAGGCACGCCCGAGCCCCTTGAGACTCTGCTGGAGAGTGCCACTTTGTCAACTCTGCTTCGAGGGGTCCATGGGGGTCCCTTTTCTCTTTGCATGCCTCATTCGGGTGAGAAAGCCTCTGCTCCGAAGGTCAGGTCCTTGGACATCGAGGTTTCTGCTGCGCACTCAGTGCAGGGTAGCGCTTGTGTTTGCTTTTTTAGTCGCTTGGTTCTTGCATGTCTGTGTCCAGGGTTGCCTGAATTGCAACTAGCGATGAAACATCTACGCCTTCATCCGATACGGTTTCGGTGCTTTAAAGAACCGACACAAACAGATTTTACGCGATAAGGCGGTGGACTTGGCCACGCTGGCCCGCGGGGCCGCCAAGCTTCCCAAACCATGGGTGGAGGCAGCGGATCGTTTCAGCATCCGTCAGGGAGAATGCCAAGGATAAAGAGGCAACATAGTGAGAGTATGTGATAGTGGAATGAAGATAAACGGGGATACGGAAGGGTGTCCTTGAGGCGGTCCGGAAGCGCTGTGGCCAGCAAGGACAAGTTGTCGGCAACTCGGTTCCTTCCTTCGCCAATCCTTCGCCGCCTTCGCTGCTTTGGCATATGACTCAGGCCCGAGCCATTTGTGTTTGCCGTGTCCTCTCTACCGGTGTTTCGCATGGCTTGCTGCAGCCTGGTGATGTCGGAGCCTCATGTCATGAGATCTCATCAGTCCGGTGCCATCGTAGCATCAACATAGCACCCGTCAGGTTCTCCTGAGCATCGCTGGCAGAAACATCACGCAAGCACTGGACGTCGAGGCTGTGGATCTCAATCGCTTTGCACCCTGCGAGAAGGATGCAGCCTTTGATCTGGCAGGAGGCGTTGCTCCCGAAAAAAGAGAAGAAGGTATCAGGCGAGAAACGCAAGAGAGTGGAGGACGGCAGCTGTTCTCCGTTGACTCAACGTCTAGTGCGAGCTTCAGGAGATCTCGATTGCATTCCTTCGCGATGGCAAAGAGGCTTTGTTTGGAATCGCCATGCTCTCTGCCGTCGCTGTGTTTTATTTGCCTTCAAGAGAACAGGCTGCCGTTACCGTCGTCCCCAGCATCTTGGGCTCCGAGGACCGTTTGCGCATGCTGTAGGCACATGTCAAGTTGAACAAGGCTCAGCTGTCAAGAGCAGTATTCAAAGTGTTCACAAGTTTCATCACGTTCAGCAGCTTCAGCTCAAGCCCATGTGGCTGAGTTGAGCATCCGTTGCCTGAGATGACATGTTTGCATTTCGTGACGAGGCAGCAAGGGTAGTTGCCTGAAGGACAGAATGTTTGGCGCGTTCTCCAGCACAGTAGCCTGCTTTCCAAGCTGTGTCGTACGCCAAGGTTGTGGTGTCTCTCCTCTTCAGCCAGTGCACTTGCAAGCAAGTTGGCGTAGCTGCCGACGGAAGTTTGCAAGATCAAGGCCGTTCTTCTGACTGACTATCCAGCGCCGAAGCCGAAGCATGTCCTGACTTGTCTTGGCCAGGTTTGGTTGACACTGAGGATGGCGCGCATCCTTGCCGCAGCAAGGTCATGTCATTCATGAGGAGCAAGCCACCGCGCACGCTTTAGCTGACCCAGGCCGACCGATCATATTGTGGAGGCGTGGTTGCTTGGCCGCTGCCGCTTGCATCATGGTGCAATCTTTGCCGTTCTCGAGGCAGCACTCTCCTTCGCGCTGAACCAGGCTTGGGGTGGAAGCTCTGATTCTAGTGCCTATATAGTGGAGTCTGCTGCAATGTAGTGGAGTCTTCGCAGGACGTGCAATCAGCCAGCCTGAAGTGCGCAGGCTGCGGGAGCCGATGTTGATTTAAATGTGCAGCTCTCGTTGCTGATGTCATCGAACTCGCCAGGTTTCTTTTACTCTTATTGTAACTTGGAAGAATCAGAAAACAAAACGACTTTGGGGTGCACCAGCGGAAGACATGCAACCAAACTGCAAGAGCCACAATCAATTAGCACAACTTAGCACAACCTTGCTTATGCAGCAGCTGCTATTCGAATGAATCTGTTCGCGGCAGCAAATGGCACATGGAGTCGTGCCAGGGTGTCCCAGATCCAGGCCTGAAAAGGCTGCGCCGGCCGACCCAAATGGGAACTTAAAAAATCCTCTGCCTGGCCCGGAGGCGCCAACCGGGACCCGAAACGCTCGAACCTCCGAAATGGGAGACTCTGGCTTCCGTAGTCTTTTCAACTTAAGCAAACTCTCGGCTTGAGGGTATGGAAGTATGGAACCAAAGCTCTTCACACATTCAAGGACTCGGCGGAGTGCTTGCAATCACGGTGGCCTGGTTGACTAATCTGGAGTTGCCACTCGCACCAGAACTGCAGGCCCTCTTAGCGGGCTAAGCAGCATAAGAAAGGATGGAGAGTCCTTGCTAAGAAAGGATGGAGAGTCCTTGCCAGCATCTGCTGAAGGACACGGGCATTTGAACATACTCAAACAAAGCACGCTTGTAATCTCTAGTGAGCGACCCTGCTAAACTGCATGTGTTTACACCGCACCTGCTCGCAACCTGCACTGCGCCCGGCCGTGTTGCACTCCGTTACTTCCCTTTCAAATCCCAAAACCACCTGAACCCTGTAAACTCCCTGAACCCCAAAACCCCTTAAACCCCCTTTAATGGTGAGTTTCCTGATCTCATTTATTGAGCTTGACAGTGGCTTCTAACGATATTGTTTTCACTGTCTGGGGCCTCGGTGTCGAGGCTTGTTGATGAGAGCTTGTTCTGCGCTGTGCATGGCCAGGAACAATGATGAATTGCACATCCGAAGATCCTTGCAGTGAAGGTGCACACCTGAAACACATTCAATGCATCCCAATGTACACCGCATTTCACTACTCGCAGCCGTG